GTTTTTCTGTCCTGCGACACAAGACGACGCCCAACGGACAAATCGTCGCTTACCGCCGAGACAAGATAGGCGTGCTCATCACTCTGTTGAAGGGGCAAATTGCTGATGGGCAGATGCACGTCGGAATGCATGGTGATGAATAAGAAATGTGTTGGGCTGAGGGACGGGGTCTCGATGCCTCGGCTGGCCGCAGAAGGGAGAGATTCAAGGGGCCCGGTTAGGCTTCTAGTAGGACACGTGGGAAAAGCAGCGGTAAGACCACGTATCCCGCAACAAGTTGTTTTATTCGATGTGCATATCAAGGTACCGAGGGCATCCTGATACTCGTCGGCTACAAATCCGGAAGATGCATCCTTGTCAGCCTGCCACTGTCTTTCACCCTGTGCGCCTGTGTTACACGACAGTGCCTGCATCTTCTTTAGAGAAAGTAGTGATTCATGTTAGCTCTCACAGAATCAAGCTTATTCAAGACTTTGTCTTGTTCAATCGCACGCTTATAGCGTGAGAAGAGCTGTTCAAGAGCTATAGATATCGGCTCGCACTTTACCTCATGGCAATATTGTGTGATGAAGTAATGACAGTCGACGCCTCTTAAATGTACTTTCTACTCTTACCTTGCCTAATAACGTGACTATGGGTTTGCAATGTTAAATAACCCATATCATCAACGTCAACACATTGAACCTTGTGGCAGACGTAGTTCTCACCCCTCAAGACCCTCGAGACCTAAACCCCTGTCAAGTTGGGGTGTTGACGCAGGGTGGAAGCTCTCAGAGGCCAACTGCAGTTAGGGGTAGAATGATGAATTACTGAAATCTGCTCCTCCCCCGACGTGTACTCCCTGCGCTGTATATATATCTGAGCTGCTCCTTTGTTGCTTGGACTCCTTACTACCTCTAACTAGCCCCTATCCGGGAGGGCTCTGACAACCCCTCACTACACCACTTCGCACTTGCGGCAAATGGATTCCGTGCGCATGACCTCAACTGCCTTCCGAACGTTTGCATATATGCCTTGATGACTACAAGTACTGCTTACTCTACTGTGCTATTACGTGCGCATTTGAACAGTAGGACCAGACGACAGCACCGCAGATACTCGCCCCGCCTGTGGTCAGGGCGGCAATGCATCTTGTTCTATGATGCCGATATTTCAATGCTTATCTTCTTATTAATGGTTTAATTCACTTCGGCAACGCCGAATCCATGGATATATGGAATGATAGTCAGATCGCTGGCCTCCGTTTCCGTGAGCCTTGTTGCCGTCGTCTTTGCGTCAAAGATGTTCAGAATGACTAGAAACATCACCCATAGGACGCGTGCCAGCAGCTCTTTACTCTCAGTGAAGTAGCAAATCTCAGAAGTACTGATGCAAACATTTCTCTTACCACCTTATAAGTAATCAAATTTGAGCTCGGTCCCTCGTGGAATTCCGTACCTTAGTCGATAGGATGTGCTTCTCGGCGGAATTCCTATTAGGCCAAGCAGCCGATGAATGAATTGAAACTTTCAAAAGTAGCTATGGAAGTTAAAGCGACTTCTTCGTCTCTGCTGCTGCTTGTTTACCGGTAACAATAACTAAGAAGACCATCTATATTTAACACGTTAATGTCACATCATCTGTGAAGACGTAGTAATTTCTTTAGTTGTGTCCGTCCCAGTGAGTTGTGACTCGGCCATGACCAATGTTCTGGGAATGATTCATGTTATGAAGCTGTCTACGTCATCTGCTTTTGAACATTGGTCCATTAAAGCTGAAGACATTGTGAAAGCCTGTCTGGTGAAGTTGTGGTCTTCTTCCAGGAATTAGAACAGTCTATGCCAACATAGCCAATGCATAGACAACGGCCCAATGAATGCCTCGAATTGAATGTTGTTTGACCAGCGTTGGTTGCAGCCTTTCTCAATATCAGGGTGTTTCCACATGCACCATTGACAGCATGAAGATTGAATATTTCTAGCTGTTATCAACACATGAAAACTCATCCAGATCCAGATTGTGTGCATGGTTATCGCTTTTGAATTGCGATTGAGTAGCAATAGACAACATCAGCATTGAGTCTTCAGAATACTCAAATTTGTCCAAGACATGGCCTCATTCCGATAAGCCACAGGGACACTGCATAATTCATACAGCGAGGTCTACCTAGTTCCTAGTTCTGATTTACATTTGGCAAAGACTATTTCTTGATCCAAACTATTTATGTCTTCGGTTTTCTGTTGCCTCTGAAGGAATTGACAGCTATTAGAGGAGTCTCGCCAGTGTTGTGGGTGCGTCGAGAGATGCGACTATTGTGGAATTCGCGATGCCGTTGCTGGACAACGTACGCTTATCACTTTTAATGTAGCCGCTAGCGCATGAATACTAGATTACTCGTGCCAACTTTAGGTGATAATTTCATTGAGTTGCCCTCACTGAACGTTCTGCCATGAACCCACTCGACCATGACGACCTTTCATCCTTTAATAGAATCACAATGCTCCTTAATGTGAAAGCTGCACGAGTTCAGACATCCGTTTTGAATACCTTCGCAACTGCGTATACCTGAACATCAAGCCTACAGCTGGCATAAGTACGCGGGTAGCTCATTGACGCTGGGCCTGATGAAATAGACAAACCCAGTAGTCAAAAGGTTGCTGTACTGATGAAAGAACAAGTAACCGAGAGGCACTTTTGTCCTCGACGCAGTTCGTTCGTACATGTACATATCCAAATGCCGGTCTTGAACGCTCATGTTCGTCACACTCCCTTATTCACGAATGTAATACCCTCGAGCACACATTTAAAGAAGACTTTTGGAGTGATTCCGTAAACATCTCGCACCTGGTTTGTGAAATTGCCGAGCTCGATCGTCGACATCATTCGGACTGATAAAGACCACATCAACTGACATTGGCCCTAGGAATCTGTGGGTTTATGAGCACATGGCGCAATCGGGGAATCGCTACTGATTCATGACCATCGACATCATGGTCCCACTGTTGACCTCGCACGAATCATCTTCATCGTCTTAATGAGAACCTGTTCCACGTGCAGGAAAGGCGCAAATATGAGGAGTCTCGGGGGTTAATGACTCGAAACCCGCCTCGAAAACCCGCCTCCGAACCCGCCTCCGAACCCGCCTTCAGGACGCTCGATTCACCGCCTGGTCTGACTCTGAGAACCTGGATGCTTCCCGTCGACGGGAAAGGCCCATAGAGTGGATTCAGCATGGTGGGAGTGCATCACTGGGGAAAAGCCCGGTCAATTGCTGTGATAATATCGCAAATCAAGATCATGTCGGAATTGGCATACACTTGAACACCGTGGGGATGAAAATAATGTTAGGCTGTCTTCTTGTCACATCATCTGTCAGATTGCGGATATGACCGATAGGGTGACGCAAGTGTCAAATCTTCCTTTTTCTGCAGCCTTCAGTGTTGTTGCGACGCTATCGGCGTGGGAGATGCGGCATGGCGGCACATTGCCAAGACAGGTTTCGCTTGGCTCTACTTTTCCGACTATTATGCAACGTTGTCTCTTTCATTTGATCAATCGATTGCACTGGATGAGAGTTCAGAGTCTTGTTGGTTATGAGTAACTCCCAATACCTCGGTTGAAGTCTGTCTTCACGCGACAATTGATTATTATTCTTTCTGGGCAAGCTTTCATTTTACTAGAAACAGCGAGCATTTCCCAGGACCGAATGTTGTGCAACCCCGGGTTGGCTAAGGTTAATGACTTGCCTGAGCTAGTAAACTCTCTCGAACGCAACGCAGTGTAAGGCAAGCCAAGCTTGGAGGTGCGCACAAGCTGAGTGCTAACTTGCTAAGGATTGGGGAGTTCAATCCACGCAAGATAACGGCTCCCACAGGGCCACAGCTGGGGACGGCCCTTGCCTCAAAGTCTAAATGCAAAATAGGCATGCGGCAGCACGTCTTTGCCATGGGTTTGGAGCACGCTAAGCATCCATTGTCACACCGGTGTGCGGCATGTGGCCATCCCAAGGTGAGGTCCCGGCCGAAGAAGTCCGGAGTACGCGGAAGGCCGACCAACGGTATCCGTATCTTCCATCACACCTTACGATGGCGAGCCGAAGCTTGGTTCCAGACCTCTTGATAACTACAGGCAATCTACAGCACTTGGCGTGCCTCAAGGCTGGCGCTTGACTCAGGGAACACCTCGTTACAGACGCGCGGCTGTGGCGTTAGCGTACCTAACTCCATTTCACGTCGACCCGAGCTTCTCGTTCTCGTGGTTCCGCAAAGGCCGCACCAGCGCACATGACCTTTGAGACTTCAACTTCGGGTAAGAAGATGACCTGTCACATTTCCGGGTGTGGCTGCGGTCCTGCGGATAGTTCTGATCAATATCATCCCGCCTCCGGGTTACGTCAACATCCTGATTTTTAATCGCCTCTTTTCAAAGTCCGGGCCCGCGTTTGCGGTTATCGCGTGGGGACTTTGACGTGATTCTACTCAACTGCTCCACAACCGACCCCAGGTGAGAACATCAGCGCACGCGGACTTGAATCGCACACGCTCTACACGTGGTTAGCTACATGGAGCCAGAATGTGATAGCGAGCGGGGTGCTTGCCAACTCGTGCGGGTGCATGAGGCAAAGGCAGGGCTGCTTGCGCTAGAGTGGGTAGGTTGATAGAGTGCCGCTCGCAGCAAGCTGCCAAAACCACTACGATATTTGAGTTTCTTTATATTGATCAAGCAATATGATCTGCCCACCCGTTTCTCAGTGACCCAGAGAGATGGCCGGAAAGGTTGCACGGGCTCACTTGACGGCATGTCAACTTGAAACCCCGACCCAGCGGACATCGGACGGACCAATGGATCTCGCTGCCGGCACCAGGGTTCATGATTCAGACTTGGATTCACCCCGCCCACCACAATGGTCGCTCATGCCGAATTAAGCTGCGAGGCTCATAGCGTTTTGCCTTGTTCGGAGACTATTGTAACCCCAACTCAAGAATACTCGCGTGGGTCGAATCAATATCAGACGCTTTGCATGCATGTGTAGTATTTTGTAGGCTCTCTGCCAAGATGCAAATGACAGACTCGCAGGGCTCGCGTACATGATAACCTAGTCGGAAATAGAAATTGACCAACGGTTTGCGGATATCCAAGGTCATTCGAATCTTGGATCCGGGCTGTCAAGTCCGTCCGAAGCACGATGATTCAACATACTTATCTCAAGGCCAAGCTCTCCTCTGGTTCAACTTCCGCCTTGAGCGTGCTTCCTGGAGACGCCGAAGGTCGCATTTAGGAACGATGCCCCGAGTCTCCCGAGACGAATATTCGGGCTGGATAACATTCTTCAGATAAACAAGACCCCGATAGGTCCCAGTGTTCTGGTTCTTCCACGTTTCACCTTACCATGAAAAACCACGCGCGGTGGTTCCTTGCGCTGCTACCTTGGGTAGCAGGTACCGTCCTCGGCCAAGACAGCACCAATGCAGCAACTTCTCCGTTGGAGCTTATGTCTCAGATCCCACAATGCGCTGTAAGTCTTGATAACTTCAACCGTAAGTCAACTTCATCTAATCCTGTGATAGGTCTCTTGTGTCACAACTGCATTTTTTAGTTCGGGTTGCGGACTAGACAACATCGCCCCATGTGTTTGCACCAACGTCACTCTCCTAGATGGACTATCAGGATGCGTACAATCATCATGTACATGGCAAGACCAGCTTTGTGAGTTTGAGCCTGACGTACCATCGTGAGTTTTACTGATATCTTTTAGCATTGTCTTACATGACAGATGACCTGTGCCGCCCTTACCCCCACCCATCTCGAAACACCGAAATCAAGTTGATTGTTGCTGTGTTGGCTGTTATCACCTTTCCGATTGTGATATTGAGATTGGTTTCGAGATGGATCATCGCAAGCCGTTTGGAAATCGACGATTGGATGACGATAGTCACTGCCGTAAGTTGGTATCCTTGGCCTGTATTCTAGCAGTTCTCGGTTAACTAATGCTTCTCCCAGGCCATACTAGCCACCACTCTTGGCTGCGTAGTTGCGAGTGAGTAATTCCCTTATGCCGCCGTCTTCATCCCTCTCCATGCAACCCAGTCACTGACTTTTCAAAGCTGCCGACCTCGGCTTCGGGCTTCATTACTGGAACGTAAACCCTGAAAATGCTCAGAAGATTCTCCAAGTAAGTAAAAGTTCAACATGGACTATGACCAATTTGACTGATTGATTAAACTTAGCTCTACTACGCCGTTCAAATGCTTTACGTCGTCGTTTTGATTCTGGCCAAGCTGTCCATCATTGCCCTTTTCGCCCGCATATTCCCCGATCGCAACTTTCAAATCATCAACAAATTGGTGTTTGTTTTCCTCGTTGGCCATGGATTGGTCTTTCTCTTTGTCATCATGTTTGAATGCACACCCATAGCTGGAATCTGGGACCGAACTCTCGAGCGGAAGTGCGTCAACGTCAATGCCGTTGCCATGGCCAGCGCGATTCTCAGCATCGTTGAGGATATCGTAATCTTTGCTATGCCTATCCAACAGCTGAGCAGGCTCCAATTGGGTTTTAAGAAGAAGATCGCCGTGGGATTCATGCTGAGCCTTGGATCTTTGTAAGTTTTAGCGTTTGTCTTGTATGCTGTGCACGAGTTAGCTAACCCACCCCTCTTTCAGCGCGTGCATCACTTCAATTGTCCGACTACGCTGGCTCTTGTTGTTTGCTGAGTCTTACGACACTACATGTAGGTTTACGCTCTACCTAAACTGTATTTTTAAGCAGGGCGCTGACTTAGCCAGGGGATAACGTCGATGTGGTGACATGGAGCATGGCTGAGATCTCGTGCGCCTTAATGTGTGGCAGTCTTCCCGCACTACGACCTCTTCTCAAGAAGATTCCTGGACTTCTCACGACGATACGAGGCACACGGCCAACGGTTGAAGTGAAGGAAACCTTCAACAGGGCGAGCAGCCGGCTTTCGTTCGGAGACAAGAGCCTTGTCACTCCGCCTCCCGTCATTACCCCTCGTCTTCGATCGGTACCATCCCCTGAGCCTTCGCCCTCAGAGGACTCTTTCATGATCAAGGTCCACATTGCAGAGCATCTTGATCCGAGAATGAAGCCATTGCCACCGGCACCATTACAGCCGCTTAGTTACCGGCCTCCTTGGAGAGATAGCGCCACATTGCAGACTCCCAGGACTCCAATGACTCCGATGAGCATTAGGAGTATCCGGAGAGAAGCTAATGCAGAGTATGAGTTAGACTTAAGAGGTGTGGTCAATACGAAGGCCTGGATGTAGACGAGCATGACTTAGAGATACCCATTTGATACAGGAGGATAGAGGTTGATACCCCAGTTTTCGCTACATAGAACAAACTTTACATTGAATTGAAGTTCTGTTACTTCCAACAGCCGTCAATTCTTTCCAATCTGCGTAGGGATTCGGGTCCGTAGTTCGTGGAGCAAGCTAAGCGTGCTGACTCTAACGTCGAGAAGTTGTTGAGCATTTGAGTTCAATGAGTTGAACCATAACTTCCAACTGTCAAAGTCAAAGTTCGGCAATAATTTGCAGTAGATACCGCTCAGTGAATGAGATGTTGAAGAATAAGGATCGAGTGAGTCCCGCTCAGCCAATTAAACCGGAACAATTCTCGGATCAAATACGATAAATCATCCGAGACCCAAGACCGAGACCGTGGACCCACGTGCGGGCAGGCTGCCGAACAGCTTTCGAGAAAGTCCCGTCGATGTTCTACAATTTTTCAAGCTCTTTGAGGTGCTGGATTATGTGTCGACTAATTCAATGCTGACCCCCGGCTACCCCAAACCGATGCCAAGAGACGTCATATGCGGAATGCGCTCGTAGGAATGGACAAGGCCGTCCCACCATCCGATACCTAGCCGCTTACCAGCCTGACCGAATCCACGCTTGACGAGCGCTGCCCCACGATCGCGAACAATGAACGAGGGCGAGAACGAGACCGGCCCGACAGCATCAGCATGCACGGCGTCGGACAAGCATACGAGCGGCAATGGCTGCTGCTGCGGAACGTGTCGCAAGAATAAGAGAAGATCCCATAAGAAGTCCCGCAATGGATGCCACAACTGTAAAAGGAGAAAAGTCAAGGCGCGTCTCTACACTCTTTGTGAAGTTGAATCGCTGTTCATCTACGCGTCACGCGCAATTGGACTCGTCATACGGATCAAAGCTGACTGTAACGGACTGAACAGTGCGACGAGACCAAGCCCGAGTGCGGCAACTGTCTGAGGTTCTCGATGCACTGCGACTTCGCTCCTCCGCCCACGAATCTTCTCACCCAATCTCCTACCGAACTGTCACCACCGGCGCCGCCACCGGCACCGCGAAAACGGGGCCGCCCACGAAAGGACTGGGACGCTGTCCGGAAGTTACCGACGCCGACTGCCTCCGAATCATCCGATGCGACCAAGACACCGCGTACACCGGCCCCTATATCCATCGAGCCATCCTTCTCCTCCCTCTCGCTCGCTCCTGCGGTGCTGAACCGGGATGATCTCGAACTCCTACATCACTACATGTGCCATACAGCTATTACCCTCGGTGAAGCACGTGTGTGGCGAGAACATGTACCGCGGCTAGGCTTCCAACACCAATACGTGTTTCATATGGTTCTGGCGATATCAGCACAGCATCTCGCCAGACTCCGGCCGGCTGAGGCCACGCGCTACGATGCTCTCGCAGAGCGGCACTCTACAAGCGCCTTACCGGCGATCACGACCCTTATGCCAAATATCAACAAAGACAACTGCCAAGCGCTATACCACACCACCGTGCTCGTCTGTCTATCGACGTTTGCGAGGAAGCCAAGCCCAGGGCATCTATTAGTCGTCGCAGAAGACGGCGAGGTCCCTTGGTGGGGCTTGCTCAGAGGCGTCCGTATAGTCGTCCAAAAGATGGGCATACAGGCCATAATCGCGGGCTGGGACGACGGAAACATATCTTTCGAACATACCTGGACTCACTGTCCGCCATTGCCCGACCCCATGCACAAGATGGTCATCTGGGAACAACGGCTTGAGGAACTCGCCGATCTAGTGGCCACAACGCCCGAGCCGGAACGTCAGATGTACACGGACTCACTCGAATTGCTCAAGGACTGCTTCAAACAAACGTTTGGCACCCAAGCCGAGCCGGAGGCGCACATCCAAGGCCGATTTGAGGTCGTTATGCGCTGGCTGTATAGCATGAGCGACGACTTCGTACTTCGCATCCAGCACAGGGAAGCGCTACCCCTAATATTGCTAGGGCATTTTAATATCTTGGCCCAAACCCTCGAACATTTCTGGTTCATGCAAGGCTGGTCGGAGCATCTCATGAAAGGGCTGTTCAGCACTCTACCATCACAATACGCCCAATGGCTTCAATGGCCAGCCGAACAGATCAAAAAGCCAGGGTCCGTCGACCACGGTGTACTTTCAGTCCAGAAGATGATCGATTGAAGCAACCCCTACGTGTCGCAAGACACATCTTAACCTATCGGTGCCCGTTGCCTGTCAAGGGCGGTGGCCCGATGAGCTATAATCAGCGCGCCCTCTTCAGTCTCTCGGCGACCCTCCGACGGCATCTCCCCAAGGATGTGAGAGCGTCAGACACGATCAGCGCCAACCCCATCGAAGCAAAACCCGGAGACAGGACAAGTGCATTGAGGACCTTCTGTGGATGGCCAGGTGGAGGCTGGATTCCCTGCGCCGCTTCTGGCTCATGTCGCGACGTCTGATTTCGACAACACGGATTGGTCTTGATACCGTGCGATCATCCACAGTTTGTTCGTTCACGAGATTGCGCCTGCATGATCTTGCGCGTCCTATGTCAGCCTGCATCCGATCCAGCAATTGCTCGTCTCGTCAAGGTCAGTTGGTCACGTTTCGCGAAGGCCTTGGTAACTAACGAGCAGCGACTCCAGCGCGAATTACGAGCAAGACTGCGCCGCAGATTGAAGACTGGGGTTTGAAGGATCCGGGATGCTAATCTCGCTGTTGGCAAACCTGGTTGTTGGTACCGCGGTCATGGGTAGACTGCTTCGAGCATGCTCACACCGCTTCAAAGACCCCATCGGAATCAGGGGCAGCGTCGCAGGTTGCTGCGCCTCTTCCAATGGCAAGACGTCTTGTCCTACCTCGACCCAGCGACTCGGAATCGATGGCTATGGGACCAGCGGAGCACAGATCCAGGGACACGGAGCAAATCGGCCTTTGGTGGATCAGATCCAAGCAAGGGTGTGACAATCATCCTGCTGGGCATCCATGTCGAAAGAATCGAAACGAGTGGTTGGTTTATGTAATTTGTGTGGTAGAGAGATGGAGGGCAGGGCAGCTGTTTTTCTCCTTCGTTGGGAACACCAACCCCGCGTCGAAGTATCCGAAGCAACAAAAAGGCGACGGCCGGGAACAGAGAGATCCAGTCCGCTTGGCCACTAGTAGTAGGCCTGCACAAACGCGCCCTTCACACGGCCGTTTCCGCCAAGGGAATACAGTTTCTGACCGCTACTCTGCCGAAACCCCGGGTTTCGGGACTCTCACATCTCCAGATTCAGTGCAACTGCTCCTTTGCGACATGACTTTGCGATCCCCCTTCGTGATGGTCAAGTCGTCAACCCTGATCCAAGATCGCCCGCATGAACCCCTTGTCACGAGACCGTAGGCTCGGAACAGGAATCAATCGGCTGTTCCACATAGAGAGGGTTCGTCCATTGAGAACTCCCGTAAAAAACCTTAAATCAGGCGGTGAAGAAGTCTATCGTCCTTCTCTTGCTTCTCTTGAAGCTTGCCGATGCAACACCGGACCTTCCACGTAGTAGAATAGAAGCATTCCAGACTCCTGGTCCCTGGATGAGTCTAGCGCTATTGAGCTAATTTTCCGAGGGCACGTCCATAGGATCACCAGTTAAACGACCCTGGACGATGATCTAGGGCTCATTGTGGCTCGACTTGAAGTAATGGCACTAGTTTCAGTTTTCAAATTCGTGGTAGAAAAGATCGGAAAGCTTTTCAGTGTTGTTCGGGTACATGTAATCGTGGTTTTCTTTGACGCGAGGGCGGGCGGTTGGCTCCCAGACCTCCCCTTTGACGCCAAGTGAGTGTGCAAGTTGCCAGAGCAAATCAATACTCGTCATTTCACGACCAATCACAAAGAGACTATTCAGAAACAATATTGAACAGTCTTTACATATGAAAAAAGTTGAGTTGAACAGTGTTGCTGGGTTCCAACTTCCCATGTAGTGAGATCCGTTGCCAAAATTCCGTCCCAGACCACCCGTGAAGCCATGTCGAACAACCATAACCCACCCAAATCGCCTCAAATCGATTGGAAATCAATCCATGGCTTCAACAGACATGTTTGCTTTATCTTGGGCCCCTTTCACATTCTCAATTGCGACCAACGGCACTTGTTGGCGGTGGCGGACGGGGCCAGGATGCCCTGATCGCAATTGCGATCGAGGATTGCTTCTTAGTCGTAAGCCGCCCCGTTGAGCCATGAATCGACTCCCTCTTTCTTTCTCATTCCGAATTCACTTTCCAGAGTATCCTGAAGTTGTTCGCGACTCTTTGTTGTCTTTTCCCATCGTCTAGGGTCCGGCATTTGCGCGTTTGTGTGTAGTTCCGGGTTGATGGCTACTCTCCATGACTATCTGACTTGAACCGAATGGTGCTCAACAACACGCCAAAGAGGTTAGTTATCCCCAATCGGGTGTAAGCCGGACCGTATCCTTGGCCATGGAACTACGCTATAATCATTGAGAGTTGAACTAACTTTGGCGATTTGGTCGAGAGTAGATCTACAAGATCGCAGGGTCATTTTACACGGCAGCAACAGCCTTCGTTTTCACTCGGCTCGGTTGTCAGCAGCGACCCAAAGTACATTGGACCAAGTAACAGACTCACAGAAGCCTGGGTTCGGGAACAGCAAGCCACATTTCCGGCAAACCTCATCAAGCTCTCCGAGCAAGGATTCAAAACCGAGGCCAAAGTCACTGAACATCGTGTTCAGCGCATTTACCAGATAGGAGAAGAGGTCACAGAGAACCTCGCAGCGTTTCAGGAGCCAAGAAAACCACACTTTTGGCCATCTAGCAATCATGGGCGAGAACAGCAAGCGAGTCCGGCAGCGAAGCCGTGAGTCTATTACTCGCGGCAAGTCTAGCCAGGTCTTGGAGGTCAAGCGTCCCAAACTTAGCACCAATGTGCCTGTCGATGTCATCCAGCAACCTACCCCCCAGTCACCGATGGGCTGGTCCAGCATGAAGGACTTCCTCATGACGGAGCTCAGGAGGGAGATGGGACTTCCCCTGCACCGCCATCAATCCAAGGACAACGTCGACGAGAAGAGCGTCAACTTGGCCTGCCCCCTTTTTATCAAAAACCCGGCAGCATTCACTCATGTCCGGAACTCCTGTACTGATGGAAACATCAAGGGTGGGATCGGTAAATTGATGTGAGTTTACGACCCCTGTCGAGGTCATGCAGGTATGGCGTACTGACTTACCCAACCCAGCGAGCACATCAAGCGAGTTCATCTGAGAAGTGACAAGCAGTGCCATCACTGTGGAGCCCGATTCGGCTCAAAGCCAGCGGAATCCAAGTCATCACACTCGCGCAGCTGCACCAAGGTGTGGTCGCCTCACGAACCCCCATTGCTCTCGGAAGACCAACAACGTGTTCTGGAGAACATTTCCGTGAGAGCCAGTGGACAATCGCTCGACTACAAGTATCGCCACAAGCTTCTGATGAAGCTCTACCCCGGACAGGAGGACTGGGCGAAGAAAGTGGAGATTTGTAAGTCAACTCGAGCGCGTATACTACTAATAGCCGGCATGGCAAGCTAACTTAATGGCACAGACCACGACGCTTATTCTCCCTGTCTTTTGCCTACGCAACTCATGTTTGATGCGATGGAAAAGGCTGTGGACAGATGGGAAAGGGGGTACGCCGCACACTACGACTCTGACGGAAGCGATGCCGACTCGGAGAGGTCCCGCGAGTATCGGAGACTCTCCGGATCGAGCCCGAGTGCATCCTCTACCGATGCCTCAAGTGCTTATCCTTCTGCGAGCTCCGGTGGATATAGCCGGACCGTCGGAAACGGCAACGGATACAGCTCACATCACACTTATCACAACTCTGGCTACCAAGACCATAACTGGGGCATGGACAACATGTCTCTTGCTACAGACTCTACACAACACGTTACAACTTCCGGAATGACATCATCATCACGAGAATCGCGAAAGACCCGATCAAAGAGTCGGCCTATCGAGGCTGACTACGCGGGCATGCAGCTCCCGACAGACTACCAGACTTACTCCCACTCCGGTACAGTGGACGACTTTGACGAACTCAACGCCGCAGGCTTTGAAGCATTTGAGCCGGTCTTTGACGTCGTCTCAACTGTTCCATCCGACTACCACTCTTACACCATGGACACTGACCAGGTCCTCCCCTTCGACTACCCTACTCAAGGTCACTACTCAAAAGACACAATCAACCCCAAGGATATACACAACACTTTGATCGGAATGGGATCGGCGACGATGCCGAGGTATCTCATGGATAACGAAGAGGACTCTGGCATTATACTGCAGGATACCCAGGAATATTTGGGCTTTGCTGGTCAAGCTAGGAGGTCTCATAGATAGGCGGGGCTTGGGTTTTGGTTACGACGCTTACGACGAAATGATGCATCATGTCACGGAACTGACTAGGGTGGGCGTAAGGGCGAAAGGGGGTCGTCTTTTACTATGTATGAGTGGCAAACTGGTGTTTTGCTATCGTAATCTCTACATCTTTCTTCTTCAACTTCATCTCGAGACCTGCGCTTTTTGCCCGTGTGCCATGGAACCATTCTGCCGCTTCATTACGCTCCATCTGAAGACATAAATGCATGCCTCGAACATACTCTCGATCCGTCACCCGAGAATCAGAGACTCCAGGCTAGAAGTATGATTGACCCAAGGAACAAGGACATCTTGAAATCTGTTTCAAGTTGCCCACCTCCTGATTCTGGCGTAGTTGTCTGTGAGGTTGTAGAAGTCGGCGATGAAGCCCCCAGCGTGCCACTCGGGGAGTTGCTAGAGCTTCCACCACTTCTAACGGCCTCAAATATCGGTTCCTTGGCATCCCTGATGAGTAGGTTGGAAACCGCAGCTAGAACGTTCAACCCTTCTCCGATACCAGTAGTATTGTGGACTTGAGGATCGACAAATTTGCCGCTGTCCCAGTAGAAGCCGCAGCGATTGCTGACCGTCGAGTTTCCCGGCTCACACTGCTTGATCGCAGCTTCAGCAGAAGTTTTCAATGCCGGAAGCCATTTGTCTACCAAGAAAGGGGCGAGTTGAGTGGCTGAGGAGAGCCGCCGGTGCATATATCCTTTGTAAAAAAGGGTATCGGTCGGACAAAGACCCACGACCGATTCGCAAGCCGCTTCAAAAAATAATGCCATAAGGGAAGAAGTCTTTAAACATAGTATCAGATAGTCCCAGGGCACGGTCACGCCAGATGTCTGAGCCGTTGGTCTAAGCCAGTGTTAGTGATATTGTCTTTAGCTTTTCGACCTCCGTCAGGAAGACATACGTTGTTGTACATGAATGATGCGCCTTGAATGAGCATAGCTGGTGTATACGACCATTGATGGTTAGATATTTTGGTGCAGTTGGTCTCTACGCGAGCCCCGTCATACACCTTCCAGTTGCGGGTGTCAACGAAACCGACTCCAGTGAGCCATTCCCACCTCCTGTCAGAGTATTCCGAGTAAGTCATGTTCCCAGTAAACCGAGCAAGCCGGGCTCCTAGGTTGAAGAAGCAAGCATTGGAGCCCGCTACGCCAAGTCAGCTTCAACTGCATTTAGTCTTATCACAGTAACACCGTTACTCACTATTCTTCCATTCATATCCAACATTCCAAGAAAGAAATTGCCAGCGAAGGCCACCGTTGCATGTATCATCATAGCGGTCAGGTGCTGCTTGAGTCCTCCACACATTCTCAGCAAGGTTGATCCACTTGGTGACTTGGGTTTCACTTCCACCTCGGGGAACCCATACTCGGCAGCCAGGAGAGCCGCCGTGCCCCAGAAACACTGGTCATCATTGGTGAGGGTAGCAGTCTGGTTATCAGGCATGTAATCGCTGATAGTTCCAGCTTGGAACTGAAGTGCCTTGCTAACTGTAGCCCCGTAAGTGTCGTCTCCTGTCAAATGCCAGTAGTCGAGATAGGTGGCGAAGAAGCTGCCACACAAGTACCAACAGTATTCATTATTGTACTCAGACGACCACGGTAGCAATTCCGGCGTCTCTCCGTACTCGTCGCCTTTGTAAAAAGTCATCAGGTCCTTGGCAAGTGACCGCGATGACTCTTTGATGCTGTCCGGGCTGCTGATATCGAGTTCGGCGACCACGTTAGGGAGGTGGCCCAGGAGCCAAAGAGCTCCCGAAAGAGTTGAAACGAGCGGAAAATGCATGATCTGAATGTGCGTAGAGAGCTCTGACGCGATGGGCTCAAGTTAGATATCTGCACACGATGATTGAGAAAGTCTTAAGTGTCAGTGAGCGTAGAAAATATACTTGGAAAAGAGCGTTCAAGGCCACAAGGTATTATCCTTGCGGGCCAGTGAGGTTCCCTCGCCTCGCAATCCGGATCGAAATACAATGACGCCAGTGAGGACCTTTTCGGAAGATGATGCTGGAATTTCGGTACATGTAAGGAAGAGAGTGGAGTTCAAATATTCTTGCGGAGTTCCATGCGTCGTCTCCTCAAGTCGGGCGCCGTTGACTCCTGCAGTGCCGCATCGACTAGCCATCTTCGATTGACGCCGGCTTAGCGCTACCAGCACTAGACCTATTAAGTCGACATGAAAGCTGTTGCCTTGCTCGTATTTACTATGGTGATTATCCGTACTGATGATCAAAAACAACTCCGATTCAAATACGATCCCTTTCAAGAAATTGCCGTAACTCCAATGCCATGCAAAATGCTGGTCGCTCGCCCCACGTTTACTCCTATCATCAATTATTCAACTGGCGCTTTGCCTTCAACTGGCGACTCTGCCTCCTCAGATACCTTCTCTGCTTCTTCCGTGCCGACCGGAGCACTCTGAGGTTGGTCGCCAGCGCCTTTGGTCTTCTTTTCCACGGCCCCTTTGGCCTTCTTCATCTCCGTTTCGCCAGCTTTCTCATTCGCTTCCTCGACGTCAGAGTCCGAAGCGAGTGCCTTGAGCGCCTTCATCTTGAGGGCCTTCTTCTTCCTCACTTTACGCTCACTTGCCACTTTTTTCCGTCGCTGTGCTTCATCCATCGCGGCCTTTTCTTCTACAACCCACGCAGCAATGCTCTTGACGGCCTCTTCTGGTGCATTGCGGTGATTGAGCAAGAACCCCTGTAATTGAGCCGGGGTGAATATGTCGTCTGGGACTTGAGAACTAAATCCTTCTGCTAGTTTGTCGAATGTCGAAGTTTGCGGCTTAAGAGCTTCACCATCTTTGTCCGTGAAGATAGTCTCGGTTAGCAAGTGTGGTCGATACATGCGCTCAAACATGCCCCTTGCACTACCCTTAGAGATGTTCCCCAGATAGATCATTCTGTCGATACGGCCTGGTCTTACGAGGGCTCTATCAAGCTTATGAGCCACATTTGACGTCATCAAGACGATGCGGCCTTCTTGGGACGCGACTCCATCCAAGACATTCAAAAGACCCGACAAAGTGCAGCGGCAGCGTCCAAATGATCTTGCGCTGCTGTCACTGCTGTCACTGTCGTCTGATGATGAATCGTCCGCGTCGAATTTCTTGCGATGCTGAATTCCAATCGCGTCAATATCTTCTAGCAAGACGATGCATTTCGGCGGCAGCGCGGTGAAGAGGTTCTCCAAGTCATTATCATCTCTAATGCTGGGAATATGGAGTAGGTAGAGCTCAAGGTTGAAGTAGCTTGCTAGTGCAAGAGAAAGAGACGTCTTGCCAGTACCGGGAGGTCCGTAGAAGAGATAACCTCTCCGGTACGGAATCCCTCTTTCTGTGTAAAACTTCCTGGTTTTATGATTGAGATACGTCTCGATGTCATCGACAAGTTCTCTCTTCGTCTTCTCATCAAAGTGCACGGTCTCTAGTGGACGTATCGGCCTGAGGATAGTGGTGTCCCAGGTCTCTTGATTGTACTGGCTCTTTGTTGCTCTCACTGTGATGAAGGCCTCGCGCTGCTTGTCCGCAAAGAGTCGGCAATTGTTGAGAAAGTTTTTGACAGGTTGGATGGAGCGCCCCAACCGCATCACGACGAGCGGCTCATTGCCCTCCGGGGCGGCAGAATATTCGTCGGGAACGCCGGTGTACGCAGAGCCGGCGCGTATGTTAGACACTCTTCGGACCATGAAGAACCCTCCCTCATATATGAACCAGGTGGTGCCAAAGGTTGGTAGATATTGCACTGGAACCCTCTTCTCATGGTGGAGGTCGTCTCGCTCGATGGGCTTCCGATAGTACCATGCCTCGTTCTGGATCACCTCAGTGCGAGCTGTCAATATGCGAGTACCCTGTCGGGTGAGAATGTGGGCTCCTAGCCAGTTGAGAACCTCTCTGTTGAGTTTGTCGTTACTGCCGATGGAGATGGAGGCGGTGAAGAATCGGGTAATCCACCAGTAGATCTGAGTGCCCAGCTTCTGAATGCCCGTCAACGCCCTTGGTAATTCTCCTCCTAGTGTAATCAGAAGGATTATTGTGGTGATGTCAAGTTTGAGCCACGTTGTGAAGAATTTGAAGCCTGGTGTCGTGCGTTCCAAGAAGTCGTTGAGTCCCTGGTATAGCTTTTGGGACGTTGCATCAGTGGCGCCAGTAGCACTGGTGAGGAGCGAGGCTTTGGTGAGCCTGAAGAGTTCGCTCATGATTGTTTTCCAAGGTTAATTGAGTAATGGAGGTCTCGAATAATGACAGTAAATTGGGGGCTAGCCTTGGTTTTAAGAGTCTTTCGTAATGTCTTGTGAGGCAACGCACGAAGCCGCGTGAAGCTTCAGGCAGAAACGAGGCTGCCTGGGGAGTCTCACCGATGCCCGCTTACCCTGGGACTCAACTGAAATCGAAATGCGGCGCTAGCCAAACGAATACAAGAATCAGCGTGACGCATGACGGAATGTGGCATAGTCCAATTCGCTGATTCTGGATCGAAAGCTGACGCCGCTTGTTGGAGCCAATCGTTGGACGGAAGCGCATCGATCTGTGACACGGTGAGACAGTCAGTCTTGGCTGCGGCTTTGCCCACAATATCGTGCATATGCACTCGTGATTGTTTTAATGTCAAAACACGCCGTCCCCAACAGATTGGTAAATCGTCCCATTCTCACAAGCAACCATCCTCTTCAACCTTGACTGTGCCAGATCCGGATAGATTGGAACCATCGTCAGTCTACCAAGGTCGACAAAAGGGTAGAGTCTGCAGTTGCTAGGTTACTGCTACGGACAGACAGAAATGGGTCTTTCACTGGTCTTGAAACTACTTTACAGGTTTGCTCAAGCACGCTTTCAAGGGCGCGCACTACTTAATTTTGTCTGCACCACTAAACAAATTTTGAAGTTGGCGATAAGTCTACACGCATGAGTTGAAATGTATCCAGTCCGTCTTTGAGAGTATGAGACATACCGATGTTCACAAGTTTATGAAGTCAGGAGATACTCCATACCACAAAACATTCAGTTTAACTACATTGTTGGTTTGCCGCCCCTTTGTCTAACCTGGCCCGCTGTAGAACATTTCTAGTGCTACTCCCCGTCTGAATAGTAGCTATGGAGACCATGGCTCGTCTTATCACGTCCAGTGCTCGCTGCCTCGCTTCTCGAATCCGAGTCACACTGCCTTGTAGATTGTGAACATCTTTTACTAAACCCATTGTTCTATCCGTGAGTTGAGTTTGGGGCCAGACCTGCTGCGTATAATCGATACCATTTCACATATTTTTTGGGCTTTCAGTTTGGTAGTAAGCGTTGGTGATATCTCTGGACAACCTAGATATTTGAGGATTTCGTGGAGGATCTTGCATGTAGTCAGCAAGCTTAATTTTGCAGCCCCGACGTCAAGCCAATGAAGATAGTGTGCCAGACTAGAACTAAAGCAAGATCTAGGGTGACTGGAGGTCTCCGCCCGCCTTTCTGCCAAGCTGGAAATGCAACAGTGTGCCTCCACAAGGCAAGCCGCAAGGCGGAGTGAGTCTATTGGTCATTGCATGTCAGAATCCTCCCACGAATGACCATTTCGCCGGTATACTCTAACTATTTTGAGGATGGCCTGCATCACATATCGCTCAGCCCTATTTCTTCCCGGGGGGCCTCGTCAGCGCCCGCGCCGCTTCATTGCAGCAGGCCGAACCGGACACGGATAGCTCAAAGACAGTACTCTCCAATCTATCTGCTCAGCCTTTCATTCTTGGAACAGCCGCATGAACCGTTTACGATCAAGACTGCATGAAGGTGACTGAACCCCAGCCACCTTCAACGTGTAAAGCGGACAATGCTGGTCACTCATAGACCTTATCAATCATGCCAAAGGCCGTTCTCTCCTTCTACATGTACCTGCCTTAATCAGCTGTGTCAATCTTCGAGATGACCTGACGATGTGTCTAAAATTGTCGATACACGCGAATCTTGCCCGAGCAACCTCGTAGAATTTGCCATCTCGTTGAAGATTATCTCTGTGACTCTCGGTGGTTGATCTTGCTGTTCCAAATGACTGAGGGTACTGATGGATGTAAGAACCAGTCTCAGATGCCTAGTTTTTGCGAAAGCGGTTGGCGCGGTATGAACTAGCTGAGTACTAAGTACGGATATATTCATGACAAAAACTTTCTGAGCCGGAGAGGCAGCAGGCAAAGACGATGTCAGCCCCCACGTAGTTGTGGATTGAACACTGCTTCTGCCCAACGTCACCCCAACAAAGACAGCCCAGGTCATTGATCGTCGCGCAACCCCTCCATCGATACCCTGCTTCCGAAGGCCCTCTCGTTTTACACGTGGACTGAGGGTCAGACATTCCAAGTGAAGCCTGTAAATACGACGCCAGGGTCGCCTATTACGACGCTGTTGTCAGAAATCGTTGCAGAAGTCAACTTGGCAAGGAAATCATCGGAAGTGTCCCTAGTCAAGGACTCCTTAAGAAGAAAGTCACCAACATGGTCGTCCGGGAACGGTATCTACGGCAGACTGCAAGAGGCACTCCGCCAAAACACTTTTTCTCAGTAGACTTACGGTAGCCGTATAATTAAGTACGCTAAAGTGCCATACGTGCCCTACGTATAAATGAATATGATTACCAATCCCGTATAATATGGCAAGCAATTGCTTGCGACCGGAGGCGCCGTAGATCACGTGAGGGTAGTTGACTGGGCGGTAGAAGTAGGGCCACCGGGGTCTATACCTCCTTACTAATTTCCACTATCTGTATTCGACCCATTACTGGACAATTCGACCCCGTTGGGAAGTGCCGCTGAAGAGTGCTCCGCATTGAGTGTGACGCAACGAAGCCTATGAGTCGTTAGACCCGCACGCAACTCCATAGCTCTCGCGAGAGATGTGGCAGTTGCCGTACGTTAGTGGACTCTATCCAGGGTTTCCCGAGTTCCGGGTTGGGATTCCGGGGAGCTAAAGGCGTGCTAAAGGCGCGTCTTTCAGGGATATCACCGGGGCCGCAAGGTTACCGTTTTACAGAGGAGAGGGGAAAGGATGGATTGCGGTGAGGCGAGGGGCAGACGCGAGTTGAGCGCCGGCTCCCACGATCAGATATCACTCAGACTTAATAACGTGGCAGCATCTTCCTTCTGCCAGTCAATGATTCAAGCTTTTGACTTTTCTGGAAAATTCCCCTGCCGAGCTCACTATCATCGCTTAACTCTTTCACGCAACCCACACGCTATCAACCATGTCTACCACCAAGCCCACTTTCGTCCTCGCACCCGGTGCGTGGCACAAGGAGACCTGCTACTCGCCCGCTCAGGAACTTCTTGAGTCTCGCGGCTACCCCGTTGAGGCCGTTGAGTACCCCTCTGTCGGTGCTGAGCCCCCCACCAAGGGCCTGACAGATGACGCCAACGCTGTCAGAACTGTCCTCCAGAGACTCGCCGATGAGGGCAAGGAGATCGTCCTGGTTGTGCACTCCTATGGCGGTCTTGTCGGAGCCAATGCCGTCGAGGGTCTTGGCTACAAGCAGCGCGCCAAGGAGGGCAAGAAGGGCGGCGTCATTACTTTCGTCTACCTTACCGCCTTCGTTGTGCCCAAGGGCAAGTGCGTCAAAGAGATGCTTGGCGGCCAGTTCCTCCCGTGGATGAAGTTCGAGGTAAGATGATGCTGGAAGACCGTGCGCATGTGTAATTCCAAAACTCACGTTTTTACAGGGCAACTATGTCTACGCCCAGACTCCCGAGGAGATCTTCTACCACGATGTTGCGCCCGAGACCCGCGCCAAGGCTATTGAGCAGCTGCAGCACCAGTCCGCTCAAGTCTTCGACGATGTCGTTACCTACGAGCCGTGGCACGAGATCGACTCCATGTTCTTCTTCTGCGACGAGGACAAGGCAATCCCCCTCGCCGTCCAGCAGGGCATGGCCACTCTCCTCGGCCCTACCGCCATTACCTTCTCTTCCAAGGCCTCCCACTCCCCCTTCCTGTCTCAGCCCGGCGACGTCGCTGAGGGCTTGGAGCTTGCTGCTAAGGTTGGTCAGGAAAGAGTCAGGGCTTAGAGTTTGATAGATTTTGCCATTTGCGTGGAGAGCTCGGCACTTTAGATATCCTGTGAAATTTATGATTTATGACCACATCCTCCTTTGACACCTGTTACACCACCATCAATCGTTCCCTGACTCAGTCTGAGTGTCAGGTATGAATTGACAGTTGATATTCAAAACTCTGAACGCCCCAAATGGAGTCATGAGTCTCTAGTCGCTCTTGATGCAGGTGATCATTGTTCAACTCAAGACGCCTCATGACGGGTAATTTTGCTCAGTGCAAGCTAGATAACCCGGAGTCTTTATCTCAATGGAGAGCATCCTTCCACCTCCAACGTATCTTAACCCGCAATCCTCAGCGATTCGGCCAAGTCAACGAGGTGGTCTTGACTCATGTCGGATTCTGGTGACTGGGTGTTTATAGTTTTGTGTCCGTCAGACCGCTGGCACTCGCTTCGAGCCGTCCCAAGTAGTAGGGTCCCACTACCGCCCATATCGTCATGTAAGACATGAAGCTTAGATGAACACCCACGTTTCTTGCGTCTGAGCGTGCTGCAATGGTACCTTGCCTCGCGAGAATCGGCGGGATCACTCTCGCCGGAGCCAGACTAGGAGCTTGAGTCACAACCATATGTTATCCCCTGCAGACGAGCCGTGGCCCCCTTGGCGGGTACATGTATGCAGAGATGTGGGTGAAACAGTCCAAAACGGGTCGGCAGGCTTTGTCGAGCGGAAAAGTTCCCAAATCAGTCTTGCTGCTGTCTTCCTACATGAGGGGTACGATATCCAAGGTACTTATTCTGGATTTCTCCTACCACCTCAGAGGCGTTTGTCCCATTACTCCCCGCTCCTGAAGACATGAGACTTAATTACAGGACCGATTTCGGCGCATCCCAATGTTTAGGTTCGGGAAAGGAGACAATTGAGTCTTCCATCTTTAGTCCAATCTGCCACCTTCCAAGTCCAGGCCAGAAGTTTTCGTGTTCCCCAATGATGTGGCCCTTTTCATCAGCTTGTCGGATATCGAACCAACCTAGACTCGTCTTCTTCGAGTTTTGGCCTGGCGCAATGCTGCACCAGCGGTCGGTTCCTGGTAATTCATCCTGGCTTCCACTTCCCTTGGGCAGTGGAGGCTGGACGAGAGTTGCGTCCAAGCCAACATATTTCAGGACATCGAGAGAGAGAGGAAACGATGGCACATATGGGACAGACTTGAACTTGGCTTGGAAGAAAGGCGTGGTGCTTGCTGCCGACTCCATAATGTCACCCGATGTGTCGTGAGGGAATACCTTCACAGCAGTGCTCCCATCTGAATTTGTTGCCCAGTCGAAAGTTGCTAGATGTTTAGGAATGTTCCAATCTGTGTGCCTCTTTTGTGAGCAACGAGCTAAGGTGGCGTGGTAAATGGCCAAGGTAACTCACTCTTTCGCCCATTCCAGCACGTGTACTTTTGCGAGACGTATATCCTCGTGATTCTTGCATTCTTCTTCTTGATGCGCTTGCCGTTTTCCTCAACCGTGTACTCATGAAACCCCGGACTCAAGATCAGTTCATCATAGGGACCGACAGGACTTTCGGTATAACGGATGATTTGTATCATGCTGATTCCGCCTAGGGGGCGGCTACCTTCTGGGCGTATGAAGGCCGAGTTGGCTTCAAGCGGAGAGTACGTGATCGTTGGAGGGTGTTCTGCCTGCTTCTTGGGTACCCAGAAGCTGAAGACGTAGACGTCGCCCTTGAGCTTCCATGGTGCAGGGACAGGGGTGATATCGCTTAAAGTCATGACGACATGAGCTCTTCTACCTCGGTCTTTCGGGAGCTATGAGTACCTTAAGCTGACAGACAATGATAGGAGTTACTGGATCACTTCTGTTTGATAAAAATGAGTTGACCGGATGTGGTGGATAGAATAGTCAAACGTGACCAAGAGCATTCAAGAAGAAAGCAGTTGGAACTGGACAGGGCGTGGAGGTGGCCGGCGCATGAACGACCTTCGCCTGTTTGTGGGGAGTAGAACGCCCTGTGGACACTTTATATCCCCAGCCCCCGGCCTGAGATAGTCATGGCATGTTGCAATCAGCCACCTATCCGTTGAGACTAGACTAAAGTAGCATAGTCGAAATTCCTCCTTGCGGGGTTAAGCTCCGGGCTGCAATCTCAAGGGGCCTCGGTGCTTGGCATTGCCCCGACGATCTAATTGCCTTCTTTGGAAGGGGTATGGGACCATCTGTTAATGTGTCGTTTGCCAATAGCGACCTACAAAACCTCGCTAATTTTGAGGGCGGAAAAGTCATGCTTTGTCTGTGTTGTCTTTCTTAGGGGAAATGGCGATCATCGAACTGTACCAAGCATCCCAAAACTTGTCAGCTTCATGTTGACCGAGAACCGTCGCCTCGTGACGCGGCCCTCTTACCCTGACGCGAGATCGCACCAGAGTTCTTCTGAATGTGTCGACCAACGATGCAGTTGTCTGCCTCTCTTTGGGAAGTTCAGGCGCCCGTTCTAACACCCGAGCTTGGAGTGTCATGATCTGATCAAAGACCAAACCGGGTTTCCTGAACATCTTCGGCTCGAACGGCACCGCCCACTCAATTCTATCCATGACCGTGCCGTCCAGCTGCAGCTCATCTCCTTCGAATCTTGCCGATGGTTTGCTCCCATCGCCCCCAGCTGCGTAATCGTTCTGCCACAGGAGAATTCTCTGGCCTCGTTGCACGGTCCAGTCAGGACACCAGGTTGGCAAGCCAGGCATGCAGCTTTCTGTCCTGTTGTGATGACAGAGAATCTCGAGAGTTTCCGATGAAGTGATGGAAGCTTTGACTACATCTATGTAGAGATCTTTGACCGGGTGGCTGTAGTCTGGTTGTAGGAGCGAGACCTCTCCGATTATATGGAACAAGCTGTAGTTATACCTTGTCTCTGGGGTCTGAAGCTTTGAAGCTCCGAAACCTGTAGAGAAGACTGAGCGGGTCTCTTTTGGGGGGCGCCTTTGGAATTTTCCGAATGGCTGTCTTGGTAGTCTCTGCGGGCCGTCATCAGATGACTTATTGGCGTCGAAGCGATCTCTCTCATGAAGTATTCCTGACCGCGCGGCAGGGCTGCGTTAAATCTGACATCTACCAGCGTCCTCAATGCTTCGGAAAAGGATTTACCGGACCACTCAAGGTCACCACAGACGAAGGCAACCTCCATCGCAACTGAGAACTCTTGAATGATCCAGGCTCTGCTCTACCATGCACCGCTCATCAAGTTTCGTAAAGCTTGCTTTGCAGGCTGAGCATTCTTGGTGAATAGTAAAGATGTAACGCGTCGATGGCTAAGCCCTGTTCCCCCCCCCTTGACAAGATATTTATCAGCTCGACAGCGTGTTTGGTATCGGCTGTCCCCACCCCAAGAAAGACAATGACTTTCGACACGTATCTGTACACCGACCATATCCTCTTGACATGGAGATTGACGTCGGCGCGATCGTGTTGATTGATGCAGACTGCATCGATCCATAACATACGGTCTTCATTCGTCAACCGTAGACGACGCAATGCCGTCTTTAGATTCTTGGTGATCATGAACGGCTGTCCCTCCAACAAAATCTCGACATCATTCGTCGGGTCGCCCCATGCATATGACAACTTCCTCTCGCCTAATTTTTCTTGGCATCTACTGTTAGTGTAATAAGTGGGCTACCACCAAAATCCTTAACAGCTGAAAACCCTTCACCTCTCCTCCGGCGCTCTCCCGCGATGGCCTCGCAGCCTCCGGCGGGCTCTGGACCGTTGCCGGCCTCCTCGGCCGGCCCTGATCGAGGCTCTGGACCCTCTTCAGAGCCGCCCCCATCCTCAAGGGCTAAACGCCGCCGCGAAACCGAGGCCCAGCCACTCCGGCCCAGCCTCGTGGGAAGCCAGCCCGACGCCCCCACAACAACCCCCTTAACGGCTAAGGGGCCCTCGACTATGACTGGGACAGCTACTGGAGCTGTCCTTACAGCTCTTAATGAAGAGGCTAAGCACTATGAAGCCCGAAAGGACGTCTTTATGGCTATTGCTCAGTCTGTGGACAACGTGATCTCTTGCTTTGAGGGGCCTAGGAAGCAGATTGCAAAAGAAGCTACAACCTATGTAATCCAAGCCTTGAAGAGGATTATGGGTAACGAGACTACGGCTCCGGCTCCGAGCCGGAAATGGACTGACGTAGCAGCCTCGGCTTCGACTACAGCCGTGGCCGTAGCCCCGACCCGTACCCGAATCCCCACCCGGCCCGAAGTCCAGACACAGAGTCTGACGGAGACCCGGGCCCAGGCTCTATCCCAACCGAAGGAGGACCTCCGGGTCTTTACCCGTATCCCAGAAGAGGGCCTAGCGGCTGCTAGGAAGCACGCCCCCTTCGCCCTACGCCGGACAGTCTGCCAGGCCCTTAGGCTCCAGCTGGCAGATATCCCACATATCTACCATATTGCAACTGGCTACTCACTGAGACCCCTGAATAAGCAGGTCCAGCAAGCCCTCCTTGCAAACAAATAGAAACTAGCAGAGTGTCTTGGAGCCTATAAGGTTGAGACCCCTACTAAGTGGTTTACCTACGTCGTCCCACGTTGCCCTGCTAAGATGTGGACTCTTGATGGCGACGCCCTTGACCCAGCTACTCTGGTAGAAGATGAGGTCCTTGCCCAAACAGGACGTAAGCCTACCCGGGCCCAGCAATCCCGGCTAGGTGTAAACCCTATTACAAACGAAGTCTCCTGGGTCATCTCCTTCTCTGTGGAAGTACCACCCTTCAGACTGTTTAACCAAAGCAGCAGGTCTCAGCTTATCCAAAAGAAGAAGACCCTAATCAGACACGACCCTGGATGCCAGGGATATCATTCGAACCGATACTGTAACCGACAGCCGCTCTGTAGCAACTGTAGCAGGCCCTCGGGATCCCACGAGACTGGGCCCTGCATAGCTAGACCGAAGTGCGCCAACTGCTCCGGCCCCTTCCAAGCTAACCATAAGGACTGTCCAGCAAGGCCCCTAGTGGTTAACGGCTCCCCTACCCTCCCAGACCGGAAGGAACTCTCCCGGATCCGTAAGGCTGGTCAGAAGGCCTATGAGGCCCTCTATCAGAGCAGCCAGGCTGGCACCCAAGCCAGCAACACCCAGCAACCTAGCAACAGCCTAACGAGCCATCAGCCCGGCTCAAAGCGCCCACGCGCCCCTACCCCTACCCAGGACTCAATTGTTGTAGCGGACGTTAGTGATGCGGCTAGCTGTAGCAGCATGGATGAAGATGAGAATGGGGCTGAAGCAGAAGGGCTGCAAGCCCCTGACGACCCAGTCCTACCCCCCCTACCCAGCCAACCTACCCTAGCTACCTCAAGCATCAGGGCTCAGCGGGTGGCGCAGAAGCCTGATTACAACGTTATTAATGCCTACACCCACCTCGACCTCGACTCAGAGCAGTAGGCTCAGGCCAGCCTCCCCACGGGCACTACGAGTCGCCCAGTGTAACGTGGGGAAGAGAAGCCCAGCTCATACAGCTCTCCTAGAGCTCTGCTGGGCGGATCAGATCGATATAGTACTGATCCAGGAGCCCTGGATAGGCTATAGAGATAAGATGCAAATCAACACACACCCAGGCTATAACTCTTATATCCCAGTTGACTTCTGGAACAACAGAGATACAAGACCTAGGGTTATGACCTATATACGCAAGAGTCTAAGACTACAAATACAGCAACAAAGGCCTACCCAAACGAGAGATATCTTATGGGTTAAGGCTGGCAACTTCACTATTATCAACGTATATAGGCCGCCAGGTGAGCCGACAAACCACACGACTACTGCTCTCCTAGGATACTATCCGCCAGAAAGAGCCCTTATAGCAGGGGACTTTAACGCCCGCCACCCTACCTGGGAACCAGGCTCCCCTAGCCGGAATCGGGGGGACGATATTGCAGAGTGGGCTGAAGGCTACGATCTTTCGTTTATTGGGGAGGTTGGGGTCCCTACCCATACTCATAGGCATACCCTCGACCTAACATTCTCAAATATCCCCTTTGCTGAGGCTTATATTAGCCCACACCTGCACCCAGGGGCTGACCACCAAGCTATCACAACAACTATCCCTATAGGCAAGGCCCAGGAACAGAAACGCCAGACTGGCCACCTCTCAGTCCCAGAGTCAGCCCTACCCCGACTTATCGACCTAGTAAGAGCTGGATCCTCAGCCTTACCTACCCTAGGGGAAGTACCTAGTCCAGCAGAGCTGGACACTCTAGCTACCCAACTAGTCAGCCTCTTCTATACAGCTATTCAAGCTGTAGGTAAGAGACGGACAAATCAGGGTAGGGGAGCCCCCTGGTGGACAGAAGAGTGTGCAGAAGCCCACCGAGCTGCTATCGAGGCTAGGCGCCAGCAGGCCCAGGAACCTGGGCTAGTTATACCTCCCCCCATCCTAGAGGAGCAAAAGATCTTCTTAACAACTGTTAGAAGGGCAAAACGCGCTTACTGGACTACTAAGATCGAAGGGGCTAAGACAGACCAAGACCTATATAAGATAGTAGGCTGGCGGAAGGCTGGCTTAGCTGTTAAAGGCCCGCCTCTTATAGTGGAAGGTCAGACAATCGACAACAGCTACGATAAAGCCCAGGCCCTACGAAAGGCCTTACTAGAGAGATTTAATGCTACAGACGACTTACCTGGGGACCCTTTCGCTATCCCAGTAGTTGCACGGCGTCTAATGCCCTGGCAGGATGTGGTCAGCATGGAAGAAGTACGCCAGGCTACTCTAACAAAGACTACAACCCCTGGGATTGACGGGATTACTACAAAGTTACTACAACACACCTGGGAATCAGTAGCTAGGCCTATACAGCAGCTCTTCCAGGCCTGTATTCAAGTAGGCCACTTCCCTCGACCGTTCCGCAAAGCAGAAGTTGTCATGATCCAGAAGCCAGGGAAAACAGACTTCTCGAAGACTGGGTCTTGGCGTCCGATATCCCTTTTATCCTGCTTAGGTAAAGGCCTAGAGCGGCTAATAGCAAAAAGGATGGCCTACCTTACTATCCTAGAAGGGGTTGCTAGCCCACAGCAGGTTGGAGCACTACCAGGCAGGGCTGCAGTCGACCTAACAGCCTGTCTGACCCACGAGATCGAGAGGGCTCTAGACTCAGGGCTCACTGCAACTCTTGTGACAATGGACGTTAAAGGGGCTTTTGACTCTGTCCTAAGAAACCGACTTATTATCAGGCTACGACAGCAGGGCTGGCCTAGTCATCTGATTAGGCTGATCTTCACCTTTACCTCTAGCCGAGCAGCCCGGGTCAGGCTAGAGGATACAACTACAGAGGATTTCCCTCTATCCTGTGGGCTACCACAAGGCTCCCCACTATCCCCTATTCTCTTTTTACTATATTTAGCGGATATCCTAGCCGACGATCAAGAGCTACGGTTTGGCTATGCGGATGATATAGGCTTAGTAGTTACTAGCCCGTCGCTATAAGGAAATGCTATAGCCCTAGGCCAAAAGATCACTCATATCCTTAACTGGGGCACTGATAACAAGGTTGCTTTTGACCCAGCTAAGTGTGAGGCAGTCCACTTCAGCAGGAAATATAACCAGACAAAAGACCTACCAGATATACAGGCGACGGGCCTAACTATTAAGGCCTCAACTAAGCCTGTACGATGGCTAGGAGTCTGGTTCGACAAGAGACTCACCTTCCGTCACCATGTCGAAACTAAGGTGGCAGCGGCAAAGAAGGTAGCCCAGTTCCTACGGCACCTAACAAATACCAAAGGGGGACTCCCAGCAGCCGCAGTACGACAAGCGGTTATTGCCTGTGTCCTTCCAACAGCCTTGTATGGAGTTGAGACCTGGTATGCGGGCCTAACCAAACCAGCCCTAAACAGCGGCACCAATACTAGCAGTAGCACTGCTTTACAGATACCTACAGTTGGTACAGGACAGAAGGGCCTGGCCCGTAGACTTAACAAAGTTATTACAGCAGCAGCAAGGGCTATCCTGCCTGTCTGGAGAACCACACCGACCAGTAGCCTCATCCGAGACGCTGGCCTTCCCACAGCAGAGGTAGCCCTCGAAGCAGCGCGACTACGCTTCGCTATACGCCTGCAGAAGGTTGACCAACAGCATCCCTTGGTCCCAAGGCTGCTGCAGTCAGGGCGGCAACAGACCAGGCTTCAAAGAACAGCTGGCCTTTTACCTAAGTGTCCAAGGCCAGCGCTCCTACAGCCGCAATACCTCCCAGGGTCCTATGACCCTATAGTTACACAGACGAAGGAAGTAGCAGCTAGGATCTTCCAGGCCTGGCTCAAGACTGTGCCAGGTCAGCATACAGTCGTATACTCAGACGGCTCCAAAGCTCCTGACGGGGCTACAGGGTTCGGCTTTGTTATCTACCGCAACAATAAACGTATAGCCCAGGGCTGCGGCCGTCTCGGCTTAGCAGAAGTGTTTGATGGTGAGGCGGAGGGGGCGAGGGCTGGGCTCCGACGGGCCCTTCAGACCTCCCAAGGCCAGCCTATACACATCTGCATCGACAATACCAGCGTTATTCAGGGGATTCGCGGTAAGGTCCCAGACTCCTCACAAGCGGCCTTCCTTGAGATCCAGGAGGTAGCTAGGATACACGATATACAAACCCATTGGTCTCCTGGGCACCAAGGTATTAAAGGAAACGAAGAAGCAGACAGCCTAGCTAAGGAGGGAACAACTCTACCAGTCCTTAGGGGCCAACTAGCTACTCTATTAGGTATCAAGTGGCTTGCTAAAGAGCGGCCAAGACGCCAATATAGACGATGGTGGAAACAAGAGGCAACTCCCCGCTATACCCAACTAGGGCTCAAGGCTACCCTTGCTTGCCCTCCTGAACTTGGCCTCCCTAGGGCTGCCCTTCATCACCTCCTCGCGGCACGGTCAGGCCACGGGGACTTTACACAATATCACCAACGCTTTAACCACACAGAAGCACTACTCACCTGCTCCTGTGGATGGGTTAAGGAGGCAGACCATCTAGTCTACTGCCGAAAGACCCTACTGAGGAGGCAACAGTGGCCCACCCTCTACCCCTACAGCCGCCAGGAGCCCGTAGGACCTATAGGGTCCCTCGATCGCTACTTCAAGGGGCTAATCACTGACTCTGAAGGCTTCCAGGCCTTCCTCTGCGTGACAGACTTCTTCCAGAAGATCTGCCCGCGGTACTAGGAGATAGGTCATAACCTATCCTCCAAACGACAAACTACCTCTATTAAGAAACCAGATGGTTATAACGAAACTAGGGCACCAGTGGGAACTAGGGATGGATAGAACACATAGTAGCTCACGAGCAAGATTTGGAGGACGTCAGGATACGGCGTGTACTATATAGTATATAGCTAGAGCCTGCGACCCTTCACGCCACATACCCTCCGGGAGGTCTGCCGCAAGGGCGGCTGCGCCCTTGCCGCCATGGCGTTAAATAGAACAACAACAACAACAACCATGCATATGACAACGCCTCATACTTGCGTTGGCTTTGCCTCAATGTCGATGAATGCAGCCTGCAGCTGATCGGCTGGGATCCGCGGCCTGTGAGTAAGTGGACGCATCGGAGAGCCCAGGTGAACTCCTGTGGCCCAGATCCTTCGAAATCGGCATCCCTTAACGGCGAGAATAGGGCCATCCTTGGCCCACTATTGTCGGCAGAAGACCGGGATACTTCCAAGGAATATGCGTGAAGTGTGACGGTGTGTTGCCTGCCATCACAACACGGTTGATTGCATGTGTCGATTGATCATAGTTGTGCCGGATGTGTCACGGATGATATCTTATGGCACATGCATCTTCTGAAGATGGGTGCGGCGTGGAACCCCGTGGACCGCAACAAAGAATGAGTAATAGAGGGAGTTAAGGGACTTATACTAATATCGTCCGTTGATTTTGCCCTTTTGAGTGATAAGTTTGTTGTATGTAGCGTTGCGTAGGATAATTAAGTCCAGTCCTTCTGGAGTCCGATCAAGTGCAGCGTGCTGGAACCAGAGGCCGGACAACACCACGAGATGGGAATCGAGGTCATAACGCAGTGGCAAGTCCAACGGGCATTAAGGTAAACCACATAATGATAAAGAACAAAAGCCTGCGCAATTCCACCTTTAAATATGGCAAATAATGCTTGGAGCTATTGATCCCGTCGTGTGTTCCCCAAGACTCGCTCTAGGGGGGGGGGGGGGTGTGCCAAGGAATCGCTAAGAAATCGGCGCGTTAAATGAGATTCCAGGTCGATGCCAATATCTAGTAATAGCTTTCATAATGGACCGCTTGTTTGTCATCAACCATTTTCCGGACAGCGTCTCAGCTTCACTTCGAGTTCTCCGATGCCTCCGCTGCCGCTGAACACACCCAAGTGCCCAAGTGGGTGACACAATAGTTTGCCGCCCAATACCTAACCACTATGCCGGCTATTCCTACTATCTATACTACTCCTACTACTCTCACTATTCTCCTACTCTACTATTCTATCTTTCTTTTTTGTCTATTCCTTGAAGAATGTTCTTTAAGACGCGTAGAATTGGAATATCATGTTTAACAGTGCTAGTAGCTATGAGGAAGGCGCTACTCATGCGTTGGCTGGCAGCCTATTCTTTCACCCACTTGGCACCTTGCGCAGCTCACTTTCTTTCATGGCAGTCATCGCTAGGCCACCGCAGGAAAAAAACAGAGCTTTACTTTTCCTTCAACACGATAACGAGGACTTGCAAGATTGACCCTGCACTTCTTCTATTTAGAACTCCATCGATCACGTCATGATTTGGCGCCTTCTCATTAGATGAACCCACAGTCGGTTCGGGCTCGGGGACGAATTTCCAGGTTCATCCGCAAGCCAAGGAACCGCGAATTCCGAAACATGGCGTTAACGGGTATTTCGGCTTATTTTGGGTGGAAGGCGCGCGGCACACAGCCTCTTATTGCTACCCTACTAATATTCATGCTTCACATAAAGCCGCGGATTCCTGAAGGAGGGGCAGCTGGGCCCTGACTCTATTACATCCCCGAGTCATGGCCTTGTAAGGCTGCTTTACCGCTAGAGCTGCCAGTCCAAACATTATTAAAGTTTCCGTCCGTATGGTTTAAATTATCGGCATCGTGTAAGCGACTTGCATCGTGGCCAAGAATAACCGCATCAACAGTTAGCAGTGAGCCACAGGCACATGGGCGAGCTTTCTCACGATTGCTCGTTAATATGGCGCAAACTTCTCCTGACAGTAAATTGATCGACTAAACTTTAGGCCAAGACGGGTAAGTTGAGATGGCAGCTATGGCCGCAGTTCATCAGCAGCCGCCGACAGGCTTAATGGCTTGTCTAGGACGGCAACGGTTCTATATATTCACCCAAAGACAAGCCGTTTGACACTGTCCACATCTTCCCATAGCTCACTATCCTCAGACATTCATTCATTCTTTACATTCGCTCTTTGAGCATAGTCATTCTTTACCTTCCCTTCGTTCAAATGCATCCCAGCGGCCTACTCTACGGGCTCACCCTGCTATTATTCAGCAGCGGGGCCGTGTCTCTCCCGCATCAAGATAGCAGGAATGATTTAATGCACAGCAGACGTCATATGATGGCGAGACAGGCTCCTGTCTCAAACACAACAAGGCCAGCTAGCACCAGAGCTTCTTCCACACAACCCCTGATCACTCCAGACCCCAGAACATCCACGCGCGTATCATCAACTTGGACAACCATCGGAACATCTAGCTCGGCTCCCACAACCCAGACAATCTCTGGTGGAGAGGTGGTCGTTGCAGTCATCGGCGCAACCTACGTAGCTGGCGCTGGCGGCGGATCCCTTGTGGTTGCCGGTGTCACCCACGCACTAGCTCCCGGAGCCGTTGTGTCAATCATCGGCACCGGGGCTAACGGCGATACTCCCGAGATTGAAAATATCTCGAATCCGGCCCCATCACAGTATTCTCAGACCTCGGATCCAGCTGAATCCAAGCCCCCTTCATCTGCCCCGTCAGTTCCCAGCTCGACGTCGGCAGCACCCACTTCGACATCTGCCACATCTTCATCCACACCGTCATCTACGGCTGTACCAACTCCCTACATCATCCTCACTTCGCAAAACTCCACAAAGGAAGAGATACAAGATCTCAACAGCACACTCTCAAGAGATGCTACTCCCAGGTCACTGAGGGAGGTCATTAGTGACCGCACCGGCTTAGTCGCCATGTTCAAGGCGAACATCACCACTGAGCAAGCTGACACTATGTCAAAGCGTCCTGGTGTAAGTCTAACCCTGCTCTTGTCTATAAGCCTTCACAGTACTTAAGAACTATATAGGTTGCCGGAGTTACTCCCGACGAGAGGTTGGAAGAAGAGCAACCGCCGTCGTCTTCTGCCCCGCCCCCATCCGCTTCGCGCCAACCAACGGCCACTGGTTCACCCGGCGCGCCACAGACAAGTGTTCCTAACCCGTCTGACATTGCGCTTCAATCGGATGCAGTGGATGAACTCAAAGCAATTTCGCAGCCATCTGGAGCAAACATTGCGGACTTGCCTGGGTTCGGATATGCTTCAGAAGCTGGAAAGGGAGTCACGATCTATGTCATTGACACCGGCGCCAATGCCGAGAACTCGGTATGACATATCCAAACGTCATCTCGAGGTCCATGACCAATTACTGACACATGGCAGGAATGGACGGGCATGACAGGAACTAAGGGCTTCATGTATGCCCCCGGCGCGACAAAAGACGAGACCGACTTTTTGAACCACGGTTCGTGCGTGGCCTCGAAGGCAGCCGGACCTGCATACGGTACTGCAAAGGGGGCTGACTTGATTGCGGTCAAACTCCCGGGAACCCTTTCGCTTTCCGCTATCTTCACTGCTTTGATTGAGATCAGCAACGATGTTTTTCAGAAGAAGCTGGAAGGCAAAGCTGTCATAAACATGTCGCTAGGGTCACGTAAGTCTCAACACGATGACCGTAATCACTCGGCATCGTTGCTCTGCATATCGGACAACATGCTAACCATCTATGGCAGGCATTCCCGACAAGTTATCGTCTACCACTACAGCATACAAGCTACTTCTTGTCGCTCTTATGGCAGAAGACATCGTCATCGTTACGGCTTCTGGAAACGATGCTGTAAGGATCCCACAGCCCGTGCATATTTTCGGTTCCTTATTTTCGCTAACCATCTTACGTAGCAATACGGCGTCGATGATGTAACGGAGTACCCTGCCCTCTTCGGACCTACCACAGACATCATCGTCGTGGGCGCAACTGAGAATGACGGCTATCGCGCATTCTTCTCGCAAGGCACTGGTGATCAACTGACTGTTTCCGCCCCCGGCTTTGTCGATTGTGCCTCTGGCAGCTCTGCCGGCTCACAAGAGCTTTACGGAACCTCCTTCGGTAAGTAAGCAAGGGACTTGACAATTCATCGCAAACCTGGCTGGCTTTGAGACATTTCTAACCGGTACTTCATCTTTAGCCGCACCTGCAGTGGCTGGCGTGATCGCAGTCTGGCTGTCTCAAGATGAGCACAAGGCCCGTCTTCAGGTTCCAGGCTCAGTCGCCACAAACGTCAAGGAGATGGTCAAGTCATTGGCATACTCGAGAGTCGAAGGAGAGCCTGCCGTCATCTGGAACGGCATTAACCCTCGCGGTCTGGCATGCTCTGCTTCTGGTTCTTCTGCGGGTCGACGCCGCCAAGCAGCGCCTTCAGGCGGCGCTGGTGCTGGTGCTTGCCAGGCAACATCTGTTGCCTCTGCAGCTCCCACCAGTACTTCTGCTCCAGAAGCGCCGACTTCGACCTCTCGTCCTGCTCCAACGTCGGCTGCGCCCTCGTCATCGGCATCTGCACAGCCATCACCGCCTCCAAAGCCGACGTGGAGTGATGCTCCCCAGGGCTTTACTAAGGTTTTGGAGCGGGATGGAGTCGCCAGTGCCGACTATGATGCCACTTCTGATAGTGCAAGTGAAGGAGTGACGAGCGGCATAGAGCAGTGGTGTCTCTCCAAGTGCACTGGTAAGTTTACCTCGTCCGCCAAACATGCATCATCGTTAACAGTCCTTTCTCCGAAGATCAATGCGCCTCTGTCTTCCTTTACAGAGTTCTTCAACTCACCAGCGGTGCCTACAACCCTTACTATATCTGCAATAGGTTCGTGATCCCCAATACCCAAGAGCCAGATTTCACGCCGTGAACAATGAACTGACATTCGATTCGGTATTATAGATATAACAAGGTGTGGTCTGATACTTTTATCCAAACCGGTACAAGTTCAAGTGACGCGGGAGTAGCGTTCAAGTAAGTGGCTCCAACAATGCCTTTTTCATACTTCATTGACTGACTTTATCGGCAATAGCAAAGTATAGGATGTACCAGAGCCTGTATCTACGCTTGTGGCTCCTGGTCGGACCAGGTCAAGTGACCGAGATCGTGTTAACATGATGTTCACATACCTACTACCCAGGGCACAAATGAGAGATAAACAAATATCAAAATTCTCACGTTAATCTTCTGAATGTTTCGTATCCCCTTGATGTCAACCCGAAACTTCAGAATGTGACATCCTCTGAGCGAAGGGAGTGTCCGGCGTGTCGTGCCTACATGTGTCATTGATCTCGTTGTTTTGCTGCCAGTGAAGACTACATTACCTTATGATAGCATATAGGTGTTTCTGATCACATTTTGCATCTTTCCAAGGCCACAAAGTCGGCTCTGAACAGTTCCCCTCGACGATGACTAACTTAGCTGAGAGATGTCTACTCAACATGTCGGCTGCACTCCATGACCAAGACGTCATATCCTAATCATCAACCTAGATCCTACAAATATCACCCAGACACCCTATACTAAGCAAGACGCTATCGACCTTTCGGTGTTACTCGATTTTTCACACAACTGCCTTATCTGCGCATACTGAGAACTTGATCCGTGTTAAAAGTGGCTTCTCAGACTAACCTTGCAAAGACAACTTTGAATGCATTCTAGGGACAAGGAGCCAAGGCAACAACAGCACAGGCTGCCTGACATTTCCCGAAAGCCAAGTTACAAGCGAGTATAGCTGGTGCTGCCCCTGCCCCAGCAGTTGCTCCCCAGACACAACCAGCAGCAGCATAGCAAGCTGCTACCACGCCCGCGCAACCAGCCTGGCAGGTGCCGTAGGCTATTGGGCCGGCCTGTGCTGCTGGAATATCTGCTGTGAGGAGGAGAGCAATCAAGGAAGGTACAAATGAGAGAGGTTTCATTTTGGTTTGGTTTCTGTTTTGGGGTTGTCATCAAAGATGATGGTATGTGCTGTGTGGTGCAGAATGCAGATTGTCTACAGATTGTCTGGGAGGAATTTGGTTGGCATTATATCTTCCACGAACAACCAAACCAAGTACGTGATATACAGAAGATATTTAATGCCAAATTCTTCCGTTGACGCAATTATCTCAGGCCCGGGAAAGTGGTGTACGTCACTGGAATGCTTCTCTTGTCGGCCTCCCGCAGGAAAAGCTTCACTTTTAACGCAGACTCAAGGTTTGCCCCGCGCATACTTGAAGCGCGGAGATGATCCATCTGGAATACAATACCACACTCTTCCTGAATCTACTGTCATCTATGTCGGCATTGTTCATGAACCCCATCCCTTGCGTCTGACACTTATTTGATCACCGTGTGATGTTTCGATCGAAGCTACCAGCTAGTTCATCAATCTTTGCGGGTTTGAAGTACACCCACAAGGGAGGCTTGTCCCAGAAGAAGAAAACTTTTTGACTTTCGGCCCAAGATTTACTCTCTGGCGCCAATTCCAGGTCGAAGTTCCAGATGATGCGGGCAAGAATCAATCTCATCTCAGCAAACGCAAGGCTAGATGGACCAGGGGTCAGCAAAATCCCAAGAAAATCACAGCACCAATCTCAGAGTAATTACTTCATGCCCAGGCAGTTCCGCGGGCCGTAAGAAAACGGCTGATGCAAGTTCTTCTGATCGTCATCGAAACGCTTGTCATCCAGCCATCGCTCGGGGATAAACGAATCCGGATGAAGAAACTTGGACGGATCGTGATACGCGGCATACTGCCAGATACCTACAGTCGTCTGCATAGCATTGATGTCGGCGTGAAACTCGGACAAGCCCCGTGGTCATGAAAGCAAATTGAGGCAAAACTTACCCCTCAAGTCACCCAGTCACCGGCAATCTGTGCGCCGCTCGGAGGCGTCTGACGCAACAAGGCAATGGCGACAGCAGGATAAACCCGCATAGACTCCTTAAGAATAGCGAGCATGTAAGGGAGGCTCTGGACGCTGTTGACATCAATGTCCTGCTCGCTCTTGAATGCTGAGCGGACTTCGGCGTTCAGCTTTGCGAGGACCTCGGGGTGGTTGCCGAGGAAGTATGTCGTTGCTGCGAGGGTCGTCGCGGTTGTCTCGGAGCCAGCTGTGGTGAGGAGGATCATGTTGTCCCTCATCTCGATCGGGGACATTTCCTGTAGGTACATGATATTAGTAAGACACTGATATTTTTAAATTTCGAAGAAAACGTAGGATATTCATGCATTGGTTCAACGATACTTACGTGCTTCTCGCCGCTTTTAACCAACGCTTGATCAAAGTCTGGTCGGTCCCCTCCTATGGCGAGCCGTTTCTTGAGGTTCTCCTCAGCCATAACCTGGCTTAGATGCCGCTTCTTCAGCACATCCTTGGGGATCAAGAGGAGGAAGTAAAGAGGATTCAGCACGGAGAAGAGAGGGAAGTCACTGATGGCTTGAATCCAAGGGATGATCTTCATCGACGCGAAGAAGCTTTCTACCCACGGATGCGAGGCGGAGTTTTGAAGACATCCAAAAGGTTCGCCAAAGGCAAGATCTCCAATAATGTCAAAAGTCGTCCACTCGAACCACTTGGAGGCATCCATGGCCGCGGTTCCACCTTTACTGTGTTCGTGTACTCTCTGGATGAAGAGACTGATCCATCGGTCCATCAGGGGCTGTTGCTCTGCCATGGCTCGAGCCGAGAACGCATGAGATAACAATCGTCGTGCGGGCCCGTGTCTCTCTCGCGATGCTGAAATGAGGCTCTTGTCCATCTCTTCTTTTCCGTATTTTGGGTCTTTCCCATTCTCGTCTTGTCCGCGCTTGAGGTGTCCGCAGACGTCTTTCCATGCATCGGCGTGTGCAAGTGCCAATTCGTTGGGTCCCACGCGGACGACGTCGCCGTAGCGCTTATGCAGATCGAGAATGGTGAGGTGGGGGTTGCCTAGGAGGATGTTGATTGCTGCGGGTAGAGGTGTAGCTGCCCATAACTTCGGTCCTGGGTATCTGCGTAATGGATGGAAGAATAGGTTGTAGATGACGGTTGCCACCCCGTAGATACTGAGCTGAGGAAGTGGTTAGCTTTGAGTCGGCTTTCGTATCCTCAACTAACATACCGCGGCCGCTAAAACAAGCAGCGACAGGGCAATCGAAGGCATCTCGAGGGCTGAGATGGACTTGGCTGCCACAACCGCTGAAAGGGAATAAACACACGATGATTGGATCGGATCTTGCGTTGGAGATTGTAGCTTGGTGTGATGCTTGTTGCTGGTAAAACCATGGACACAGATGCCGATGGGTTCGATGAAGGCAGTTTTATTTCACGTCGGTTCCCATGAGGTCAACTTCAGTCGTCCGCCGAACGACGGTCTTAAAGTACAATCCACCGTATCAGTCCGGCCCCTGGCCCCGGCTCGGTTGCGCAAGACAGCCCGGCTCGCCGATCAATTAGGAGCTCGGGTCCCAGTTTCCAAGCCGGGGCCCGTTTCCCGAGCGGCGGACCTTGTCTTGGCTTCTCACATATCGCGAGAAGTCCCACGTAGTGTCCCGCCAATGAGAGCCGATGTATTTCATTCTCCTTAATGCATGATGCCTTTTTTCCGACATCTCGGCACTAAGATCTGCGTTGCTTCTTAGCTTACGCCATCCGCATGTCAAGGAGGTGTAGTCGGCGCTGTTCCACGAACATGAACCTTTTGAGTCGTCAAGGATACCCATAAAGCGCGAGTCAACGCCGGGGAATTTGGAGATTATTGGTGTACGGGTGCTCCCGAACGGCCGAGACAGCTGAATAAAACTGTGTGCCTGAGGACGAATCAGGTCCAACTTGGTATATCGACGACCCAGGTTCGGTGCTCTTCATCAAGTGAGGCGAAGGCACCTTCTTTAAGCCCCCGGACCCAATTCTCAGACCACCATCGAGTCGGCAGCCGCTGGATGATCTTGCAAAAGTACGTATAAACAACCAACGCTTCTTGTGATGCATCGCGTCCCTGGAGCAATGCTATCAGATTTCCCCTGTGATCTGAAACGTTACTGATCCAGAGGAACCCATGGAATATGTCTCTGCTCTCCGGGAACTCGGTCAGGACCGCGAAAGTTGCTTCAAGCTCTTCCGCGGCATGCATGTAAGTTGCAAAATGGGCATTCGGCTCCGTGGCTCTTATGCGGGCAAGTAGAGTGCCGAGATATTGCTTCTTTGATGTTCGCTCACGATCTGCGAGCATCCCCGTCGTGTAGCCGATTACTGGATGGGTTAAACTGGTGGTGGTATGTAGCGCCATTGATGCAAGGGTGATTGACCTTGATCCGTGGAAGAATACCATCCAGTCCGGGGACGATGTTTCCTTCCGACTCGGACGACCAAAGATGGCATCCTGGGGGTGATCCGTCTGTGAGATGACTACGGAGGTACCGGAGATATTAGTACCTCGTCTCGATCGAGAAGGGTTAGGGAGGTAGACAACACGTACTATAGAACATGATGAACATCGAGTATAGAAAAAGATTCTCCCGCATCGCGATATCTTCCACTTGGTCTATGTGGTGAATTGATGCAATAGTTGAAGCGGTGGGCGTGTTGTGGTGCCTCAGTGCGTGTTGATAGAGGGCCTCTTCTCGTGCTGGATTGAGATGTGCTAGGTGTGAGGCAGACAGGGCCAGTAAGCTCCGCATGACAAAGTCGCAGCGGAAACCGATTTGCGCCGCATTCCTAAGCCAGAATGTTCGAATCAAGGGGCTGAGTGTCAAGCTATCGTGTGTGAAGAGGGTCCAGTGATGTATGAGTTCGAGATCAAGCATGTCGAGATCCAGATCCCCGCCCCTGTACAGAAGACTCTGAGATGGGTGTGGTATCGTAGTCTCTGTGGTAGTACATGGCTTTGGTGAAGGGAAAGTATAGGCAGTAATAGCTTGCTTGGTGCATTGCCCGCATTGGGGTCTTCGCTCATCACACTATCCCGAAGAGCAGTCAGATCTGGGTTCAATCTGCCTCGGATCTGCCACCTACTTTTACGTGCCTCGTCTTACAGGCAAAAAATCCTGTTAGAACCTTTTTATGAGCTCGCTTAGGTCCGCGTCTTAAGGGAGGCAAGTCTTCCATGCCAAGGTCTGTCGTTCCCAGCTCTGTTGGGCACCAGTCAGGGGGGCTCTGGGGTTTAGATACAGCAGGTTGCAGCCGAGGTCAGGGTTTGCTCCTTGAGGGGTCTAGCTGCATTGGGCTCGGGGAAGGAGGAAATAAAAGAACGAATCGGAAGTTTCTTGATCAAATTGAAGGTTCTCTGGAAGGATTGAAGCGGACGGATGATCTTTGCGGATGTGTTATTGACGACGGACATACGGGGCCCGGGGAAGGAGGGCTCGGATCATATGGGCCCACTTCGTTCTCGTCGCGAGTCCGAAGTGGGGCTACGCTTCAATTTAGACGTAGGACCAATCACCATCAACGAATTGCGTGAAGAGCCTACATGCTCGTGATCGTTCAATAACTTGACGAGAGGTCTCCCGAGTATGCATTAGTATGTTACTGTCTTTCAATCTGTGTTTTGCTGGAAGATTCGTTCAGTCATGCTCGACCGAGGCCTCATAGAATACAGAGACTTGGACCACGGCGAGCATGAGCCGAAGCTCTCGTGAAACTGCTGGTTGGATATCTCGTCCCCTCCGTAACCTCATAGAAAGCAAGTAACTGATACAGAAGCAAGGTACTAGCCCCGGTTGGTCCCAGGCGGCCTATCCGTAGCCTTGGGTGTGGGAGCTTGGCCCTTGGACCCATGTATACTTCCTGGGCTTTAAGCACCGGTCCCCCTTCCGGCCCCGTCCATTCCAAAGACCCTCGCTCTACAACTTGCTCAAGTAGTCTCTTTCTTTGTACGCCATGTTGAAAGTTCTTGCGTCGAGGGCGCCACGCGCCCTAGGACTGGCGACAAGATCGACACTCCCACCGACCAACGTTCGATGCATAGCAACTACCACCATCTTCCAAAAGGCTGTCTCTCCACATCCAACTCGTCGCGAAGTTGCTCTTCCTACACAGTCTCAGCCGAAATCCTTGGTGGAAAATGCCGTGTAAGGAACCCAATTCAAGGAATATCGCCCATAATTAACAATTCTTTTTACCAGAACGACGCTCGACAAACTTGCCAACTGGGGTCGTCAGTCATCTATGTACCCAATGACATTCGGCCTCGCATGCTGCGCCGTAGAGATGATGCACATCGCCGGCCTACGATACGACCAAGACCGATTCGGCTTCATGTTTCGAGCATCATCGCGCCAGTCAGACGTAATGATCGTCGCTGGAACTGTGACGAATAAAATGGCTCCCGCTTTCCGCCAAGTCTACGATCAGATGCCGGAACCGCGTTGGGTCATTAGTATGGGGAGCTGCGCTAACGGCGGGGGGCATTACTATTATAGTTATTCTGTAGTCCGGGGGTGTGATCGCCCGGTGCCGGTGGATATCTATGTTCCTGGGTGCCCGCCGACAGCCGAGGCGCTACTTTATGGGATGATGCAACTACAGTGGAAGATGCGGCAGGGACGAAAGTCGAGAATGCGGTATCGAAAATGAGCTCGACAAAGATTCCCATTCATCTGTTATGTACAGTTGATAGTTGCCGTTTCTCTCATCTCATTGATGGGCAGGAAGAAATAGAGCTTGTCAAGTACATGGCTTTGGTGTGAAATGCAGCAGAGGTCTTACAACCTAGAAGTGCTCTGTGATTCAGAAAGAATATCAATAGAAATAAACCACATTAGCTTGGGTACGTACCTCGATGGCTTCGACTTTCAGATGAAGTGGAAAGGGTTCATATAATCCAAAGTTGGCTCATCTACCATCTACCACATCATGAGTTGGATGCTTGATTTGTCATATACCCCGGTTAGGTCTCCCGGGGCGCTACTGCATCCGCTATTCGACTCATGATGTGGTGAGATACCTTTTCTTTTCAGTGTTGCAAAACAGAGGCCATATTCAGGATCCCCAAAAGGGACAGACACAGGTAGGAGACAAAGATTTTGAGAGGTAAATGAGGGTATCTGATTCGATTTCCGATCTCTAAAAGCAAGTTTTCCATTGTACCCCTGAACGCCATGCCATGCGACATCCCCGAGAACCCGCCAAAGCTCCGTCCGCTTAGAAGGCAGTTCTGCGCTTGCGTCCAGTGTACTTCGAGGTAGACTTGACAACCTTTCCCTTTCTCTCCATCTGCTCCTTCTTCTTCACAATCCACGCCTTGCTGCCCTTCTTGATGTCACCCTTGCCACTCTGCTGGCTAGCCTTTCTCCTCGCGTCCTCAACATCGACGTTGTCCATCCCGTCAACGACGTTTGTGATATCGCCTCCGCGACCGCCCTCTGCGGTACCACCAACAGTCAGAACAAGGTAGAGCTTCACGTTCTTCGTCTCGGGGTCGTCCTCAAGCAGACCGGCGCCGAAGCCGGCCTTGACGGCTGCCTGGGTAATCATGTTGCGCTGGGTGTCGTTCTTGGGGTAGAATTGGCAGACGGCACGACCGCCTCTACGTAATGATGCATAAAGACCGTTGAAGAATCTGGTGAGACGGCCCTCGGGTGAGGTATCGCTGCTCTCGGCGTTGCAGAGCCATTGAATGGCGGAAATGCTAATAGCGGCGTCGAAGGAACCGGCGCGGAAGGGTACACCCTGTCCGATATCCGCGAGAAGAAGGTCGCCTTCCACATCTCTTTGGAGTGCGATGTCGAGCATGGAAGGCGACACGTCCATGCCGACCCAGGTGTGTGGACCGCCATCTTCGGGGCCTTCGGCGGTGAGGATTTCGCCGGACAGACCGCTGCCGCAGCCGACGTCGAGGATGAAAGAGGGTTGCTTGAGGTCGAGAAGCTCGAGGGCACGGCGGGTCATGGATGCCTGGATATTTTGGATGCGGGAGCTCGTCGTGTACTTGCGGGCTTCGGAGTCATTGTAGTGGATGTCGGCCGCGCTGAGAAGAGAGATCTGGTTAGCTAGACGCAGATGGCGGGGTTAGAGGGGGGTCCTTGGCCTACAGGGTATCCTCAGGGCGTGACATGATGGGCAGTTTCTGGTAGAAGATCGACCTCGGATGATCTTGGAAGGAGACTCGCGTCTATGATTGCTTCAAAACAGTCTGTCGTAACGCCGGCGCATCGGATAATTTGGCGGTGAATTGTGTGTCGTGGGAAATCCTCAAAAATTCGCAACTGGGGGGTCGCGGATAGCTATCGATAAGAAGATAATCGATTTTGGCAGGGGCTTATCGATAAGGACATCCCCCGCGGGCGGGATGTGGTGGGGTCAAACCCGGCCAGGCATGTCCAATCAGAGGGTCGCTTATCTCATCCATAGCGGATCAAGGAATCCCCCGACGGTCCGCTACGCGCAAAGGCCACGCTTGCGCAAAGTGGAATTCACGACGCGCCCTGGCCAGCTCCCACTGCCCTCCGTCATAGCTTCGGGAGACAATGTAGGGAGCTTCTGTGCACAAACCACCTCCCCGGCGTACCGATTATTCAACAACTTCACCCACTCTCTTTTAACTTCTTCTCACTTCACTTCATGCCACGTACCACGACGATATCTTCAACATAACGTCCGTCACCATGTGGATTTTACCTTTGGTCGGCTACCTCGGCTCCATCGTGGGCTTCTGCTTTCTGACCCTCGCCATCGGTTCGTCTTGATCCCCCAGTTCTCCCTTGGCATCCAGAGTGAAGATGGTTCCTTACTAACGATGTCTGCCCAGCTTCCGGTCTGTATTACTTATCGGAGCTTGTCGAGGAGCATACCGTCTTTGCGAAGCGCCTTCTTACAAAGTTGATCTATTCGGTTATTGTTCTGCAGCTACTGCTATGCATCGTCGACCGATTCCCCTTCAAGTTGACACTCATGGGAGTTGTCTCCCATGTCGTCTACCTCGGCAACATGCGCCGTTTCCCTTTCGTCAGATTGACTGACCCTCTATTCTTGGCCTCTTGTGGTATGTCTCTGTCTTGACAACTGGTAAACACTCTATGCATGGAAGCTCCGAACTGACGTTTGCCTTTCCAGTCCTGGTGCTGGTCAACCACTACCTCTGGTTCCGCCACTTCTCTGCCGCGCAGCAACGATCGTACGCGAACATGCATTCCTACTACGACCAACCCGACGATGTCCCGAGCTTCACCGAGATCGCCTCCTACTTTGGACTCTGCGTCTGGCTGATCCCCTTTGCTCTGTTCGTGAGCTTGTCCGCTAGCGACAACGTTCTACCCACGATGGGCAGCGAAGACCCCCTACGGGACTCCTCTGGGAAGAGCAAGCGCCAAGGCTTCGTCAAATCCATCGTCGATACCGTCCTCGGTGCCCTCGCAGAAGTTTTCAGAACAGTCGGCTGGGAGCGTAGTTAACCTTCTCATGGCGTCAGCGGAAAATAGACGAATGTCACATGTGGAGCATGTGGTGTGTACAATATGTGGGAAGACTACTATGACGCCGGAATTGTCAGCCCTTAAAAAGAGCGAAAGAATAGATACCCGGAGATTTTCTCCAACCAAAAGCCTACACCCCTGTTCCCAGCCGCCATGCTACAGGCGAGGCCCTTTTGCACTTCTGGTCCGCCAGAAAGACTTCCCTGAAAAATACGGACACTCTGTGGAGCCATTCTCCAACACCTCACTACAAACAGGGCCAATTGTGCTGTCTGTACCAGCCTGTCGGTCATGGCCTACTACGCATGTCGGCCATCTCTGGATTATGGTGTTCTCGGACTACAGCCGCAGTGAGGCGACCAATCATGCCCACCGAGGAACCAAAAGTCCTCTGCATGTCCCCTGCAAGCGAGGTTCTTGTTGGCGGGGACTTGATCTGTAGGGGCGACTAAACGGCAAAAGTCCTCTCCAGAAGGATCAAAAGTGAATCAGGTGCCCACCCAGTTGGCAGCCCTTTGGCAGCGCCATCCGCGGTCGATCATCGAACTTTCTGCTCGCATTCTGGCATGGTCCTTTTGATCCGCCGCCTGCCATCGCTCCCGATTTGATGGACGATATGGTGCTGAGCGGCCGTGCCTTGCAGTAGCCCACGGTACCTAAGGTAGTTTACCTTATCTACGAGGTTCTTCTGACAAGCCCGCGAGTCAGAGATTCCCGGTGTGGGTTGTGACGGAGCCGAGTCTACAGTCGACTCCCGGACCTCACCACCATGGGTGGAAATGCTTAGACTTTTGCTTCTGTCCTGTTTGCGTGCGTTGTCACCCAAAGACCCGCCGAAAAGCCCCTGGTCTTTTTATCGAGGAGGAGGGTGAGGGCGAGGGTGAGGAAGATGAAGAGGAAGAGGAGGAGGACCACGCCGCTTCGCTCCTCACAATGATGAGGAGCGAGGATTGCGAGGAGCACTCATCGCCATTAAAAACGCTGGCAAATCCATTCGAACTCTTCTTCATTCCGTCCCTCAACTTGTCATTTCAATCCACCCATCTCATCTCAATCGCGGTCACGACAAACAAGAAATCACGTCCCCCACTATCACAACCGCCAAGATGTCTTCCAACCAAGCTCAACACCCCTCTCAATACACCACCATCCCTCGGCCCCGACAAGAACAATTCTCAAACGCATTTACATATCAACAACCAAACGGCTCTGACAGGCTTAATACCTGGTTGTCCTCTCCCCCTTCCACAGCGCCATTCCACAACATCGCCGCCTACCGAACGCCGACCTCCGCTTCCGGCAGCGGTGCGAACGTGCGGGGCCCCGCCCCGGCTCCGAGCAGCAACGGTGCGACGTGGGGTAGCGGACACGGCCGTTAGAGTTGCGCGCGGACCTGGGCCTCGCCGAATGCCGAATGGCAGCCACCCGACGTGGAACCTGAGTGCAACTTATTTTCGGGCGTTTTAAGGACGGAAGCTTGGATGGGTATACGGGCGTTAGGGTAAAATGGCGAGAGTCAATTGGACAGGCCCGAAGGCTTGGGGAACAGGATGGTTTACTTCCAGATGACATTTTTCGGGATGCTACTGCGTTTATGGAGCAACAGGACAATCAATATTACCACATAACTTTTCTACGTTTTCCAAAACAGCTGAAGTTGGCCTGTGTTGTAGGAAGCTCGCAGACGATGCCAACGTGATCTACTGACAGACGGTGGTATGATCCCTTACAACCGTTAACTCCGTGCTCGAGGTCTCCCCCCACTTACGGAAATCAAGACTCCCAACCACCAATGGAGTATACCTATCTACGGTAACGCATCCTTTCTCATGCTCTCGTATAGAGCGCCATGTAAGACAAAGGTAGCCATGACCCAGAACGACATGGAGTAGCCCGTCGATGTCGTGTTTTTACTCTTCGGGTGAACTAATTTCAAGACTGTCCGCTTCGAAGCTAACATTAAGTGTGGGCCGCCTTGTGATTCAGGTGCTACCATAGCTCTCACATCTGATTATAATGAAGGAGAATCGATGGGGTATATAGAGGCCGTTCCTTGATTTCCATCCCCCCATTCGAAAGACACTTGCAAGAGTCGATGTCGTGTTTTTACTCTTCGGGTGAACTAATTTCAAGACTGTCCGCTTCGAAGCTAACATTAAGTGTGGGCCGCCTTGTGATTCAGGTGCTACCATAGCTCTCACATCTGATTATAATGAAGGAGAATCGATGGGGTATATAGAGGCCGTTCCTTGATTTCCATCCCCCCATTCGAAAGACACTTGCAAGATAGTTTTCTCTCCCCCGTCGCAAGCCAAGCACCATCAAACCTGTGACAAAACGAACATACCATGGCTCCCACATACAACAACGAAACCAGAGCTAGTGACCTCGTCACAGTCTACACCCCTCACATCGCCGGCAAGACGATACTTATCACGGGCGTCTCCCCAGGCAGCATCGGCGACAGCTTCGTCAAGCAAGTCGCCGTAGCCAAGCCAGCAACATTCATCCTAGCCGGCCGCTCACCCTCAAAGTTCCAACCCCTCATCGACGAACTCGCAACCACACACCCCGATATCAACATCAAGTCCTTAAATCTAGACCTCACCCCCTTCGCCAACGTCCGCAAGGCAGCAGAAACAGTCAACTCATGGGCAGACGTCCCCCACATCGACCTCCTCGCCAACAACGCCGGCATCATGGCCTCAGCCTATGGCCTCACAGAAGACGGATTCGAAAGCCAATTCCAGACAAACCACCTAGGCCACTTCCTCTTCACCAACCTCATCATGCCCAAGATCCTAGCCTCTGCCTCGCAGAGGATTGTCAACATCAGCAGCAACGCCCATAGACTCGGCCACGTGCGCTGGACGGATTACAACTTCAACGAGGGCAAGCACTACGACAAGTGGATGGCCTATGGGCAATCCAAGACGGCCAACAGCCTCTTCTCCATCGCCCTTGCCGAGAGGCTGGGCGCGTCGAGGGGGTTGACAGCATTCAGCCTCTGCCCGGGGTATGTCCCCACGAATCTTGCTGCACACGAGGCGCATGACTTTCCCGGGTTCCTGGAAGCTTTGCGTAAAGTTGATGTGGTGGTGGGGAGCAAGTATATGTGGGGAATGGGGGATATCAAGCCCAAGGATATGGACCAGGGTGCCGCGACGCACGTGTTTGCCGCGTTTGACCCGGAGCTGAGGGAGAAGAATGGGGAGTTTCTTACTGATTGTCACGTTGCCGATCCGTGGAAGGAGGAGGTGTACCCGTGGGCGAGAAACAAGGTCGATGCGGAGATGCTGTGGGTTTTGAGCGAGAAGCTTGTTGGGCAGGAGTTTAGATACTGAGATGGTTTGTGCGTATTCTCTGTTCTCTCTGCTGGAATACTGCTGTGTATAATGTAGCTCTCATCGGACAATCGCACCCGCCAGAGCCGAGCGGTATATAGCCGGTAGAATCAGGGAGTGATAGCGAAAGCCCCCCCGAGATTCATAGAATTCGAACCTCGCAAGTTCGAATTCCGAACTTTTGCTTTTTTTAGTGCAGATATATTCATTCTCTGGTCTCGCTCCGCCAAAATCTTCTACTCACCAGTACCTCTGAGAAGATCTAAACGCGTTCGTACTCGGGGCTTTGTGATTTGAGGGCGCTGCAGAGGCCATAGATCATGGTTGATTGACATAAATTGCAAGATGCAGTAGGGTCTCAATATGAGATCATCCTCGCTTCGATGATTGAAACCCTCACGTGCTCTCCCAATTTTCTTTTCCACAGATCCGCCGGTGCCACGTTTGGGTGGATTTCCATGTCCTTGGGGGTAAGGATATAGTAAGTGTGGAGGCAATACTACTGTATTGGATCTGATGATGATGATGGGAAAAGCTGAGCGCTGGCTGGGCTGGATATCTGGGCAAGGTGTAGGTGGGGCAGCTCCGAGATGTGAAGGAGCTGCCTCACGTGACCCACCTGCATCTGCCACAGTAAGTGACGTGATGCGATATGAGACGCTGAAGGACTCCCTGTCATCGCTTCCCATACGCCCGTATGTATACTTTCCGGTATATACCAGGAACAAGCCCCTGAGATAGAACGCGTGGCATATGCTAGCTATCGTTATGGAAAGTCCCGTTGGATGCACCGTGTAAGACATGTTGTCTAATCCGAGTACCAACTTCTCCTTCTTCTTTACTTCCTTGGGGGCCGCTATGCTGGCTCCCTGTACTTCGTGAGCTCTATATACGTAGAAATCTGTTAGGAAAAGCTGCTCTTTAAAGGCGCGGAAGGTGCGTTTATGTAGTATGGTTTCGTCTATCTGAAATAAAGCTCACGCTTCCTGCTTCTCAACTAAGTGGCGTCTGAAACGGAAGTCGCGTTGCCATTTGATGAGAAGTTCTAATCAAATATCTTGACCAGCCAAGTGGTAGCTACGAAGGCAGGTGGGCAGGTACGTGGGCTGGGATGCCCGAGGGTCTCGACGAACCTCGGAGGGCTGGCGGGGAGCTTCAGCCACAATTGAGCATTTTCGGAGCACTCGCCACACTTCCAGAAGCAACGAAGCTCAGCCACAATGAGGGGCATCGACCTTACCTAATCACTCCAGCTGTGCCACATGATGTTTGCACAGCCACTGGGACTCCAACTGTTTGATGCAGTTCAACGAGTGGCAAAAAATCAACCACCAGCGTCTTGGCGTTGAACGTCGTCGTCTCTAGCACCACGTTGGCTGGCTCAAGTTCCTCCTCACACCGGCCTAGACGGACATACCCGAGCTCTGATTGGGGCTTCGAGTGCCTCCCGACGCGTACGCTCGTCATGCGTAGTGCGAGACAAGGCGAAGAACGAGACGAAGTGCGAGTTTGCGGCGGCCGAGTCAACAAGCTTGACAGGAAAAGTGTGCCTCCATGGCCCTCCATATCCACGGCGGGCTTCCCAGGCGTGCCAGACAGGGAAAATGAGGCTGTGCCACTGCCGAGCTACCGACGTCATTCGTCCAACCTCGACACAAACGCGTTGGTCCCCGTCCCGAAGTCTGGTGCCTTTGCGCACATGGGGTTGCTTTCACCTTTCTCGCTGTTGTTCAAAGTCTTTTCGCCCTGCATAATGGAGACCGAGTGGTCACCTAGCCCGCAGTATCCAGTCTGCCAGTCTCCTTGGGTGGTCTCGGCTCTACTACCTGACGCCGAGTGACAGACGAAATTGCAGTATCCGTATTGCCGTAGGCTGGCGAAAAAGGGTCCAAACGGATGCCTCTTTTTGCTGGGCTGCTCAAGCCAAGCAACATCCATGGAATGCCAACTCTATTGTCGCCGCACCGCCGTATTCCCCGGTGGCGACGCAGTAGTAGGCGAAGCTTTGCCCTTTCCCCACGCCCCAAGGTCGTCACTGGGGGCTGACGACGCGGCTTCGCGACGACTTGGAGCCCAGATCCAGGCACCCTTTCATGGGCTATTGGGCACACTCGCACTTGGGGGGCATGTGATGTACGGTCGACACATGTCTCGCGCTGCAATGCAGGCTTGCGCTGCGTAACTGCGTAATCCCACATAAGCTTGTTCTTTGGTCTTTAGGCTGGGCGAACAGTAGTCTCCTCTTTAAAAGGTTCTCCCTTCCCAGAGCCGTGCCCACGCTTTGCTCTCGAGGTCCAAGACTTTCCTCGCGCAATTACCCACATCACACACACATATCGAGACCAGACTGTGATGGGATCATTGTACGAGGTTCCAGAAACCAGCCGTCACCGCCCAACTAACGTCTCTCTCAGTCCCGAACGCGACATGGCTCCCAATATCGACTCGGCGCTGGGGACGGCGGACATGGCGAATGAGCAGCGCGGCCTTCTCGAGCTCATCGACAAGCTGCAATTTGCTCAGCTCGACAATGTCAAGCTGCCCCAGATCGTCGTTGTCGGCGACCAGTCGGCGGGAAAGAGTTCCGTCCTCGAGGCCATCACTGGCACACCATTCCCCCGCGATGCCGGCGCCTGCACGCGCTTTGCAACCGAAATCCGCCTGCGCAGATCGGCCGAACCGAGTCTCAACGTCTCTATCATCCCCGACAAGAACAAGCCCTTCAGAGATCAGGAGCGGGTGAAGCAGTTTGGCGGCGCCGTCGACACCGATATGTCATTTGAGTCTCTTATGAGATCTGCGGTGGAAATGATCGCGCCCAAGAACATTCCGGGCAGATTCGCCGCTCGCGATATTTTGGTGGTTGAGAAGAGAGGTCCCGACATGCCTCTGCTTACTCTTGTCGATCTTCCCGGTCTCGTCAAGAACGCCAACAACGACCAGTCGATGGACGATATCAAGACGATTGAGACCCTTTGCGACCGATACATGAAGAGTTCCCGCACCATCATCCTCGCTGTCGTTGGCGGCAACACCGACTATGTCCAGGCGCCCATTCTCACAAAGGCACGCCACTTCGACCCCTCTGGCAGCCGTACCATCGGTGTCTTGACAAAACCCGACCTTTGCGAGTCGATCGGTCTGGAAGACAAATTCATCGAGCTCGTCCAGAACCGAGACAAGCAAAACTACTTCAAGCTCGGCTGGTACGTCCTGCTGAACCCTGGACCCCGCGATCAAGGCCAGCCCTGGCCTTCAGCCCGCGAACGCCGTCAGCGCGAAGAGGAATTCTTTGGCCGCGGCAAATGGCGTGCTCTCCCCAGCTCCATGTGCGGTGCCAATGCGCTCAAGCAAAAGCTGAGCGTTCAGCTCCAGCGTCACATTGGCCGCCACGTCAAGACACTTCGCAAGCAGATTCAGAAGGCGCTCGACGACTGCGATTCAGAGCTCAAGTCCATGGGCACTGGCAAAGACACGGTTGAAGAGATGCGCATCGAGCTCGTTGAGCTCTTCTCCAGCTCCAAGGAACTGGTCATTCCCGCCGTCTACGGTTTCTACAAGAATCCTCCTCGCAAGAACTTCTTCCGTGCCACAGCCGATCCCCGCGGTACACCAGCCCAAAACTTGCGTGCCCGCGCTATTGAGGAGAATGAGAAGTTCTCGCACCGTATCCGCCAGAACGGCCGCAAGTTCGGCTTCTCGTCGTCCACTGCCCCCGGCACGGCAGACGGGGTCACCATCAGCGAGAGCAGCAAGAGGGAGTTCGTCGGCAGAGAAGTCGAGATGCTTCTGCGACAAATCCGCGGTTCCGAATTCCCCATGGACCCGAAGCCTCGCGCGGTTTACATGCTCTTCCAGAGCTACTCTGAGAACTGGCCGAAGCTCGCCCAAGAGCACAAGGACAACCTCGGCGTCGTGTGCAATGAGTTCCTCAGTGAGGTCATCGACTTCGCGTGGCCCCAGCGCATGCGCGAGCCTCTGCGCTACCAGTTCCTCGACGTTCAGATGAAGAAGCTGCTGGCCGACGCACAGGTCGAGCTTGAGCACCTGACGCAAGACATGAACCTCGAAATCCAGCCGTACGACCCCGAGTACGAGGAGCGTCTTCGCAAGTGGCAGATTGAGACCACCAAAGATGGCGCCACGTACACTGAGGCGCAGGAGGTTTGCGAGAAGATGTTGATCTTCTACGAGCTTGCAGCCAAGACCTTCATCCGCAACACGATTACCCAGGTCGTCGAGAGACATTTGCTGCAGGGTATGTACAGCATCTTCAACTCTGTTGAGATTCTGGGCATGCCTAGTGAGACGGTCGAGGCTATTGCCGCTGAGAACAAGGAGACGCGCGACCGCAGAATGACGCTCAAGACGCAAAAGACTGCGATTGAGGAGGCCCGCGACATTTGCGCCAGCCTGGCCATGCGCAAGGAGCTGAGAATGGTAATTGACAGTTGTTTCCCCACGCCACAATTGACTATGCTAACGTCTACTTCACAGTACGCCGACGAAGATCGCGATCTCGAGGACAACAGCTCCGACTCAGACGAAGACAAACCAAAACAGACAACGACGCGCAAGCCCGTCAACAATACTGCCCCGACAAGCACCAGCCCAAGCCGCGAAACCACTCACCGCTCAAACCGCTCCCGCGATGAGCGTGAGGAGCGTCCTTCAACAAGAACCCAGCCTACCGAGTCGGCGACCAACGGCTACTCCTACGGCGGCCATCAGGCACCCGCACAGGCTCCTCCCGTCCCGACCTCACGACCGGAGCGCGCCGAGCCCGCCAAGACAAACACCAGCACCTCCCAGTGGGAGGAGGAAGAGTACTACAGAGCTCCACCCTCCCAACAGGCTGCCGCACCGAACCAGGCACCTCCCCCGCCTCCTCCTCGTCCCCAGAAGCTGAGGCCCGAGGACGCGGCATCGGATGCCTACAGCCATCGCTCGCAGTCTTCGATTTCGGAGCAGCAGCATGCTAATGGCTATGGAGGGTACTATGATGCCAATGAGCATACGCCCTCGTCTACGAGACGTGTGACTGCCAAGAAGCTGTTTGGTAGAGGTTAAGACGAAGGAGACTTCGGTAGATTGAGGCTTTCAACTTAGTTCAACGGATTTGGGACTCAGCGATGTGGTTTGTTGGGCGTTTGGCTGGATATCTCTGGTTTCCTCTGTTTTAGACAACACAGGCACTGGTATAGGTTTAGATAGCACTTCGTATGATACCATAGAATTATACACAACTTTAGTCGATATTCTATCAAATGTGACTTTCAAACGTGAGCTGTGTGATGCCAAGGGGGAATGACTCCAGGATAATGATTACTACCCAGCCTTAGCATCGCGTGAACGATGCATGTAGTCACAATATCATGCACCACAACGTTTTACTCGTTTTATCGTTTTCGGTATTATTTGACGGAGGTGCCTAGGGTCGGTTATGTTAAGTTATCACAAAAAACAAAATTGGCAACAAGCTCACTCGAGGGCATTTGGTATTCAATCACATCGCGAGTCTCAGTTTTGGTTCATTGGTCATCAATTGTCATTATAGTATACATCTAACATGCTTTTCCCATCCTTTTATGCAATGCAATATTTTTCATCCGCTAATTAACCTCTTACTCCTGAGCAATCTTCAAGACAGCCTTGCCAAAGTTCTGGCCGGTAAGCATGCCAACGAAACCCTCAGCAGCCTGGTCAATGCTATCCGTCTGGTGGATCTTGACCTTAAGCTCGCCCTTGGCAATCATAGGCTGCACCTTCTCCTGGAAGGGCTTATACTTCTCCGGCGACAAGTTGACGAGGAAGCCCTGGAAGGAGAGCTTCTTGGCGACGAGGTGGAAGAGGCCGCGGACGCCCTTTTGCTGCTCGCGCGGGGTGTTGTAGTCGGAGATCATGCCGCAGCCGATGATACGGCCCTGCTGGTTGAAGGACTCAAGGGCAGCCTCGAGGTGGTCGCCACCGACGTTCTCAAAGTACATGTCGATACCCTGGGGCGCGAGGCGCTTGAGGGCGTCGTGGGGGGACTCGGTTTTGTAGTTGAAGCCGGCGTCGAAGCCGAGCTGGTTGATGATGAAGTCGAGCTTCTCGTCGCTACCGACGGAGCCAATGACCTTGACGCCCTCGGCCTTGGCAAGCTGGCCGACAATCTGGCCGACGGCACCGGCGGCGGAGGAGACAAAGATGGTCTCGCCCTTCTTGGGCTTTCCGATCTCGTAGAAGCCCTCGTAGGCGGTCATACCGGGCATACCGAGGGCGCCGACGAAGAGGGGGAGGTCGACGTTGTGTGTGTTGGGGACCTTGAAGAAGCCGGGGAGGAACTTGGCGGGGATGGCGGCGTACTCGGCGTTGGGACCCATGAAGGAGGTGACGAGGTCGCCGGCGGCGAACTGGGCGGCGTCGGAGCGCTCGACACGGGCGACGATGGAGGAGACGATGACGGCGCCCTGCTCAAAGGGAGGGATGTAGGACTTGCCGGTCTCGGCGGGGCGCATGCGGCCGCGCATGTAGGGGTCGAAGGAGGAGTAGAGGACCTTGATGAGGATGCCGCCGTTGAGGTCCTGCTCGAGGTCGATGGGGCGGTCCTCGGTGACGAGGTCCTGGCCGGCGACGGGCAGGCCCTTGGGGACCTGCTTGAAGATGAAGGACTTGTTGGGAGTAGGCGCCATTTTGGATATGTGTATGTGGGAGTGTCTAAGTGACGGGTATCTAGAAAAGGGACTTTGTAGTGTAAAGTAGATATATGCAAGAGATGTGAGTGGTTCTTCCAAGATCCAGCTGGAGAGTATGGGATTCTCTTCGAGTTAAATATAGCGTTGAGACCTGCTCCATATCATGACGAATCCCGTCAAAGGGTCCATCGGGCCCGCGCCGGGTCCGACCTTGTGGTCCGCTTGGAGTGGTTCAATGTTCAGCTCTCCTCCATGCTCCTCGCAAACACGGAGCGACGGAAGGCATTGGAAACGGCAACGTCATGATGGAAGAACTGCCAGGCGGGGCATCCACTTTGCTTGTTCGGCCGGTGGAGATTCTTCAACAACCGGGGGTTCGCCGGCATTGGCCATGCCCATCAGGTCGTGTTTTGTGAGGTGGTTCCCGCAAAGAGGATAGCGGAATTGTTCAACGGGACTTGGCCGCTCGTTGCCCCCACGGACCCTTTCTTTTGATCTGTCAGCAGCAGCACTTTAAGATGGGCGCTAGATTTTTTTCTTCCTTTCCATTTGCCCCTCCATCTTTTTTTGGTGAAAGATGCCGCGGTTCATGGCGGGGCATATCCGGCTTTGAGATACGGAAACACATACCAGATATCGCTTGGGTAGGCGGTGTGTCTGAAAGGTCCAATCAAGCTCATCGATACCACCATGAAGGTCATTCCAGACCAGGGGCTCCTGGATTCTCTGATCTGCGGTCAAGATCGCTTCGTCAATCGTACGTGTTGACTTGCACAACTCCCGCCACTGTTGTTTGGTGGGCCTGCCATGCTGTTTCTTTCTCTACCGTTCGAGGAACTGACGATTCACTCGATTCACTCGATTCAACGGCTGAACGGGATGGTCTCGGCCCTAGGGAACTCGAGTCAGGGTGAGGCTCATCACTGACTAGCCTCGACCCAATCTTGCTTGAAGTCGCCTCTCCATTCTCTCCAAAACGTGCCACAGAAAATCTCTACCCCGTACCAATTAAGCAAAGATGACAAAGCACAAGCTCAATGCCGTTATTGTCCTGGCGCTCGACCGCCCGGAGCTGGCTGCCCCTTTCGGTGGAGGAGGGCCCCGAAAAAATAAGAACAGCGCAGAAAACTTCGGCAGTCGCCTGAGCCGTGCCGGTTGCCAGGTCCGCGGGGCGGACGGGCGGCCGAGGCTTGGTACGGTGCTGCCAACTGGGCATTTCGTACAATCGTAAGTATCCGCAACGGAGTCTGGACCACGTCTGTTGGGTGACAGGAGCCGAGGTTCGTTTCGCACTTTGTTGATGGATAGCAACGGGATTCTGGCGAGGAAAACGTGGTCCGGGGCAACTGTTGGCTTGTTGCTATATTCGGTTGAATGATTGCCCCAGTGTCAAGCAGCTTCGACCCAGCTTTCTCCCCATGATGGGATTTCTGATTTCAAAGCCAAATTTCCGCCTGAATTCCGCTCCTTGCCTCGTACTCGAACGGGAGATCCTTCTCTCTGCATCGTCCATCATACACTGATGGTTCTCGAAGTCTTGAAATCTCCGATACCCCTCGAAGATCAAAGTGTCGGCGGTAAAGCTGGCCAGGGGTCCTCCCTTGATCCATAGGTAGCTAAGCATTGGTGACGGGATGCAAGTGTTTTGCTAGCATCCTCGCGTGGCCTCGGACTGTCGCCGCTTCTCGCACTTCGCGTTCCTCGGGTGTGGTATCTGCTGTAATCGTAACTAATTCGACGCCCTCGTGGCCATTGTCAACCCAGAATTCCTCATAGCCCGTTGCCTCAAAGCCCATCTTCTCAAAGCATCGTCGTCCTTCTGGTGTCGCTGTGAGTGCTGCCAGAGTGTCAGATCATACTGATGTCCTCCTCCCGAATGAATGGATGCCAATCGAAAGTGCAATGCCAGCATGGCCAGCCACCACGAATCACTTACCTGAATAGCCGATGATCGACCATCCCTTCCTCTCTGCAGCAGCTACGACAGCCCGCATCGAAACATCGGCGAATCCTCGCACCTTGCCCTGCGCCGCAGGCACATCGAACCTCTCGACGTGAAAGACATGCAGCCCGACCTCTGAACGCTCATCGCCATCGCGAGGAAACATAGTTCCGGCGTCCACATCCACCTCCTTGGCATCTCCTGTCAGCAAATCCCGCCACGCAGGCGCCAGGATCGGGAGTGCAATGACGGCGCCAACAAGTATCGGGGCATCGCTGCTCTCGCCGGCACCGGCAGGGAGGTAGAAACAAGTGGCCATCTCGGGCGCCGCCGCCGTCCAGCTCCGGAGGCGGTCCCAGGTCAGCGGCGCGGGGTACATGTCTTGGTCGGATGCGAAGATGCCCTTGAGGACTTTGTCGGTCATTGGACCTTGTTCCAGAGCTGGCGCTGACGCTGACATGTTGGCGACCTCGGTATTGGCTACGATAGGAGCTATGATGGGATGAAGTCGAGGTGAGGTTGTTCGTGGCTGTTGGGTGTGGAAATGTCAAGATTTCAATGCTGAAGTTGGGAATCTTGCTGTTGGACAGCGGTTCCTTCCTGTTGCCTTGTCCTGACGGGAAGGCCAATGTTGGGCTGGCTCACTGGGAAGGCGCTGAAGAAGCTGCGCTGCAGGTGGTCCCCACCCAACGTGGCTTGTAACGTGGAAGCTGGGCACTACAAACGACACTTCAGCTGGCAGAACTTGAGCATCTCAGTCTTGGCTAAGCAATTGATGGATGCTAAGTTAGACCATCTATACGCATCGAATGTTCAAATGAGGGCATCAAATGCTTTTCAAAATTGCCTGATCATTGAAACGTGCAGACAGATGCTGGTCTTCCCCCTCGTAGGTGAGTGCTAAACTCTGGAATCTTCAGGGCACATTTCACTTGCAACATCCATGATGGCAGGGCTAGAATGAGTTCTCTCCCAAGGCACAAATCACAGTCGCGACCCCAACGTCACAATCCTAGGATTCTTGTAGAGTGACTTCTCTCGGGGTATTCCCTTTGCTCGTGATTCGTGTTATCGTGATATATCGTTATTCCCATGTACTCCAAGTTCTGTGCACATCCATACTACTTCATTGTACTGCCGGCTTTTTGTTGTACCCGTGTGATAAATACAGAAACCAGAGTCTTATGTGGTGCCTTCGTTGAGACACACAAGAACTCCGTTATTTGATATTTTCCTAGCACACGCAAATGAGAAACGAAGCTCCAGCTATTTCTTCATTTGGTTTCAATGAGAGCCAAGACCTAAACAGCGTCGCCAGGCTCAGAAGCTGCCAGAGTACCTAGGGCCGCGAGAGATCCAGTGGATCCCACCAGTGAGAGGGTCCATGATGCACATGAAGTGAGTCGCTTCGTTGGTGGTAGGATAAGTAGCGACCCATTCGCGGAGCTTGGCCTCATCAATGCCAGGTATCTCGCCGGATTTGCTAGCTTCGGCATCAAGCTCAAGATCCGTGCAGCAACTATTCTGCTTGGCCCAGGTGATGTCAATCCCGTTGGTAATAGCTCGGATATGTTCTATCCACTTCTCATGGAAGGCGTTCTGACGCTCCCCAGACTCCTCGATCCAGGCCTCAGATTCCATGGGCTTTGCCTGGACAGGGTCGGCGCCGTGGCGAACAGCCAAACGGCCACAGCAGCGTCGATGGTCAGGATCGTGGTTGCACTGGATCTGGAAGAGGTTGCTCGTCTTGATCTTGCCGTCGTGGAGGTCCTTGAGGATGTTCACAACCTGTTTTCCATCGCAGAGGGTCAGATAACAGGGGGAAGCGTTGAAGGAGGCGATCTTCTTGGCGATGGAGGTGATGAAAGTTGGTTTCTCGCTGTTTTCAAGGGGGTTGGGGACTTTGGTATCATAGGCGTTGGCATTCTTCGTGGAGATATTCTCATTGAGAATGATACGGCGAAGCATGGAAGGGACAGACTCGCGCAAGCCAAAAAGGACCGCAAGTTGGTGCTTAATAAGGCAGCCATAACCACACTCATGACCTGGGCGAAAGTTGAGAGAGACCGATAGGCCCTTTCTGAAATAAGTATTAGCTTATGTCGGTCTCTGGTGGAAAGAACAAGACAGCCTACCGGACACCAGTCAACATGCCGACAAAGCCAGCATAGGTGACCGATCTGGCAATCACCTCATTCGAGCCATTGCTTGTATTGACATACTCAATAATGACCAGGATATCACGTAGGACATCCATGCCCCACTGGATTGTCAGTGCCAGATATCCTTTGTGGGGACGGGGACAGAACCATACCTCAAGAGTGCGAAAATGCAGCAGACGGTCAGGACCTCTGTCACCAGCGTGGTTCTTGGAGTCACCCCTGACCAAGGCAGCTCCAGAAGTGCAACCAAGCATCAGGTCAAGGAAGGTATTGAGGGCCATGAGCCGATGAGTGGGGATGCCTGCAACCTTAGCAATGGATTTGATCTCCTTGGTCTGCTCAGGGTCAAAGACCTTGCGAAGGGTGGCCCGAGATGTGAACTTGGCAAAGCTAGACAAGGCGCCCGGAGCAAAGATCGCTTCAATCACCTCATCAAGGAGGGGGCTCACTCTTCTTATCTGGGGAGCAAGATCCTTGGCGAGCTCAATGTAGCGCTCTCCAGCAGGCTTGGCCATGTCGATCTTGTAGATTGGAATATTATCAGGTTCAGGAGTGAGCATGATCCGGAAGCACGTGGAGTGCTCGTGAGGCTGTCTCTGCAGCAGGTTGAGGGGCTCAGCAGCAACTGCCATCTTGGGGGTGTTGACCAGCGATTGAGATGGACAATGAGATGTCTTGAATGTGTCAGATTAGTTCGTGTAGCAGGAGACAAAGATATGCAATGAAGCCTTACTGTGGTGACGATGATATGAATCACTGATTGGAGCTGGAGTCTTGTCTCTTGTGTCAATGCTGGTATTGATGAAGAAGGTGAAGTTGATGACGTGAAGGTAACAATCAAAGAGAAAACCAAAAGGACCCTTAGCACACGACACCGATACTGACAGCTGTGCAGAAGGATATTTTGATAATTGGGTAGGGTGCGGAGAGGAGTCAGTATGAAGATGTGTCAATTAGAAAGGTGTGGTGGAGGAAAAAAAGTCGAGGGGTCCAGGCGAGTGGTGAAATTCAAATTCAAATAGAGGCAGGCCTTGGGCGGGTGCAGGAAGGCACATCAGAGAGCAGATTTTTTCGGCGTGCCTTCCCTCCAGATACAGCTGGCTTTCAAGTTCATGATGAGAAAGGCAGGAGCGACTAGATTGGCCTCGGCGAGCTGCTTCCTTCCCAATCAAGAAAAAGAAAGGAGGCACAGTAGCAGAGTATTTCCCCCATAATCATCTGTAATCTAAGACAGAGCGGACGTGTAAGTTTCATACGCCTCTGGACGGCTGGAAACTACCTACCCCAACTGGAGGATATGGTAGTTTTGGGGATCGAGATGACGGTCAACGTGAAAGAGACACGAGATTGTACTCGGACTTCGGTCATCAGGCGACATTACTAAAGGCTTGATGGTGCTTTCTGAGGCTCCTATCAGTACGCATTATGCCCAATCCGAAGCATTGATATAATGTTAAAAGCGGTAAGTCCCGGGTCATGATTATTGAGTGTAATTACGAGCGAATTCTAGTCTACCTCGCCCTTCGTCCAAATTATGTATAGTGAAATGGTCCTCTTATACGGACCCCAACGTATGCGGCGCCAGCATACACATGCTTTAGCACCCTTTACTCTATAGAAGCAATCTAATTGCGCCGTCTATCTCACCTCTCTCTCCATCGTGACACCCATACTACCCTTGGGTCGAAGGGTGAAGTTGGGGTTCGCAAGTTCTACAACACCATTGTATCCGGGACGCGGTGAGAACTTGAAGTTGCGCACCAGAGTAAATATGACGCTCTTCACATTCAACAACGCCATGTTTTTGGCGATGCAGCCAGCGGGCCCCTGGAGGAACGACTCCATGGCGTACGAGTCCTTGGAAGCGCGGCCATCGGACCAGCGGTCGGGGTCGAAGATGTCGGCGGTCTCTCCCCATACTAGGGGGTTGAAGTGTGCTACGGCCGGGCAGAGCGTCACTTGGGTGCCCTTGGGGACGAATATTCCGCAGACTGTGACGTCTTCTGCTGCTTCGCGAGGGAGAAAGATACCTGTTCATGGATGTTGTCAGCACATCGAACTTGAGTGAAGTAGGTTCAATTAGGCTTACCCGGGGAGTAGAAGCGCAGCATCTCCTTGAGGAAGTTGTTGACGTAGACCAAGTGTTCTGTCTCCTCGTATGAAGGATTCCAGTCTCTAGGCTTTCCGGCACAGAGACTGAGAACCTCTTGCTTCAGGCGTTCTTGTACCTCGGGCTCTGTGGCAAGGATATGCGCAATCCACATGGTGATAGATCCAGTGGTTTCGTGGCCTGTGTGACAGGGTCAGCATATGTCTTTTGGTTACTCCTTTTATTGTCATTCATACCTCCAGCGATGAAGTTCAGCATCTGTTGAACATGAGTTAGCAAAGACCGGAATCTTGATGTTCCAGGGGGACTTACGTATTCAAGAAGCTCCAAGTCAGTCCAGTTCGTCTGAGTAGCGTCCAATTGGCAGTCTTCCAAGATGAAGGTCAAGATATCGCGGTGCTCAGTCGTCTTCTCGTTGAGACCAAGCTTCTTCTCAGCAATCATCTCGGCACGGCGGTTCTCAACGCAGGTGAGGAGCATAGTCCGAATGAGAGCAACATCCTTGAGCCATCTCTTGTTGCTAGGGAGAGGAAGCCAAGAGCGAACTGGGACATGACCATCGATGAACGTGAGGATGTGACCGGAGGGAGGCTGGCGAATGATGCGCTCATACACGTCGTAGAAGTGAGCCTCAGGGATGGAGATGCCGTCGAGATCGCAGCCAATCGATCCAATGACAAATACATCAAGGGTGGCTTTCCTAATGTAGGGCTCGACTTGAGGCAGTAGTCAGTATTAGATAATGTCAAATAAAGTAAGGAAGCGTGACATACCATCGACAAGCTTAACGTCGTCTCCGCCCATGTCTCGAAAGATCGCCTCGCACATCTGGTTGGCCTTGAGCTGGAAGACTGGCAGCATCTTTCGGGTATTCTGGTTCGAAAAGGCACCTATGTAACAATGTGAGTAGTGAACAAAGAAAGAAACATCGTTGGAGAAAGGAACTCACGATTCAACTGGGTTCGCTGCTTCTTCCTCTCCTCACCCTCAGAGAACATGAGTCCATGGCCTGTGATGGGAGAAAACATGCGAGCCGCCAGCTGTGACTTTCGGAACGAGAATGCCTTTGTCTGTTGGACCTCCTTGAAAGCCGCCAGGTTGTTGACCATGAGAGTCTCAGCGTTGAGCATGGACGAGTACCGCACAAATGGCGCTTCTGGCCATTGTTTTGTCCAAGAGATGAAGATATCTGCTGGACCCGGGGTTCTGATCTGGTTGAGCATCTGACCGATCAGGAAATGACCGCCCTAACGTGATGAGATGTTAGCCATCGTTCAGTTTTTCAAAACGCGTAATGAGTTGTATCGATCCTTCCGTTGGATCGACTGAGAAAAGTTGATTGTTCTTACCTTTGGTCCAGGAAGGTGTCGTAGTGGTGAGAGAAAGAAAGGATAAAGGAATGCATTATATCCTAGGAGAACAGCACACTGCAAGGTGAATGAAGCCAAGAAGATCTTGAATCCAACTGAAAGATCCAGGTACAAGAATCTGATGCCAATAAATGCAAGTAGGAGCGATATGCCAGCGCAGAGCTTTAGAGCCATGTTCTGAGGGCAAGGGGTAAGAACGATGGTGGCGAAACGTTCAAGTTAGAAAGAGATATTAATGAAGTGATTATGATGAGTCGGGGTAAAGGTGAAGAAGATTCGGTACCAGAGTTCCGAATGAACAATGGCTGGAATGGGTAGAAAGGGAGGCGGTGGGTGGAGAGGCGAAGTGGGTGGAAGGGTGAAAAAAGTAAAGTCGAGAGGTGGGAAGTTGAACTGAGCCTTTTTGTTAACGTCGAGAATCCTCAAAAGTTCGGACGACACTCATTGAGCAGGAGCGGATGCCTATCTTTAAGGAAAGAACGAAAACTCCCGCAAAAAGGAAAAGCAAGCTATTGTCGATAGTCCTCCTTTCACCTTTACCTGCATTTTCTACCGGGCCTTTGACCCGCCAAACATATCACTCAAAATGGACTTCGTCCTAGACCGAATATGCAACTTCGATGCTTACCCCCCTAAGACATCACAATCCTTCGCCAGGGATTTCAAGCCATGCCCGGACCAACGGTATCGAAGACAGACAAGCAAACAATTCCCACGCAAGTCAAAACGCCACCAAACGCAACTCCCAACAATGTCGACAGGATGACCCCGGCCGGCATCTGCACTTCTTTGATCACAAGACAACGATAATTCAAGTCTTGTTGTAACACAGAAAACGAGCCACTGGATCTGTATGTCCGGAAAGACACGAGTGCTGTTTCGCTCCAGGGTTCTTTACATCCTTGTCGGGGGCCTGACGTTGATGAGGGTGGGGTGGAAGAAGAGGATCTCGAGAGTGAGACTGATCCTTGCTCCCGCATCGCTGACGCCCACGCTAGAAGAGCCGATCCGCAAACCTCCCACGAGAAGGTAAGCAACTGGCGACGTCTAGTGCAAGGGGGGTCAAGAGAAGCATATGCGCCAAGAAGGCAAACAAACTCTCCTTTCACGACTACCTCGACGGCGAGAGAATTCGGCTGGCCATTGACGTCTTTAGGAATGAGCGGTTGAAGAGGGGATAGTGGAAGCAACGGCCAACGCCCGCTGAAAAGCATGGCCTTTGCAAGAAAGGAAAGGCCATATGGCATACAATCTGTGCCGGCCACGGCGGATGCTGCCGCGACGTTACACGAGTCCCGGATCTTTGGAACATGCCCCCCCGTTCTCGCGGCAGCTCGTTCCCCAGGTCGAATGAGACACCAGAGATTGCGTCTGCCTGCAGAGACAGTTGGAATCAAGACATGCTGATTCGTCGCATGCCAACTTTCAAAAGCCCCGACTATCCAACCAGCATGCGACAAAAGGAGGTAAAAGGGGGAAACTATTGATGCCGGCTAAACAAGTTGGGAAATCCTTGCGAGCCTGGGTGCTCTCTTGGCCTCTTGAGCGGTTGGCAGCTGGCTCTTGCATAGATATATGTAGCCATACTCTGCTCGCCGAGGGCGAACGCGGGTTCTTGCTGCTCGAGGCCTGGTCTGCGAGACGGGTATTTGCTGCATCGTCACTTCAAGATGCACGCGCAATGCAGGCTCTGTTCAAGATGTGAAATCTCAAGAGGTTCGGAAACTCAACCCATATGTCTCGACTCGCGATTGGTGGATATATGTGCTCTCGGCTCCCTCTTTGTGCGACGATGCAGTTCCTCCACGCAGCGAGGCCTTCCTCTCAGGGGCGTGTGTGATTCGGCGTTGCAGATGATGCTTCCTTGCGGCCTTGCTAGGATGGTCTGCGAGATCTGGATTCTGGATACCGACATATCGCACGCTCATGGGGCCGGGGGTGTTGGTTCCTATAATTCTGTCTCTGATCCGGCGGAGCATCTGCGATCGATCGTACAGAGATCTGCCAGAGGACCCAGAATTACGGCCGTCGTCGATTCCCGAAAATCGCTTACACAAATTGGGTGGCTGAAACTCGGCCAATGGGGACTTGTGTAGTTGACTTCCGCGGCCCTTGTCTGATACATCATGCCGCCGACGCGGCGCTTCGAGATAGTGTGGGCTGTTTTTCGAGCGCAGAGCTGAGGCGGGTTGGAGGCGAATGCGATTGTTTGCTTCTTTGGCGACTGTATTCCTGCCGGGGATCCTTCACTACCGGGTGAGGAAATTCAGAGGTATGTGATATAATTGAGTCAAGGATGGCGTCGGTTTTGAGGAACTCGTACAAGACTGTATTAGAGTTGTAAGAGGTACTCAAGTACCCTCTTAAGCCAAAGAGAAAATCTAGAGTCACACGAGAAAAGGGGCAACTCGTCAGAGATGACATGCTGTCTCAACGTCGACTCCTCTTAAGATCGGGTGTCTCTCACCCAGCACTTCACACCCCCTGTTTCCGCCCCGACGTGATGGCGTAGGGGTAGATGCAGAATCGCAGATTGTCATCAGAGATTACTGAACCTGCCGGGGTGAGATGTGACACGAGACACTCTGAGCGTAATCTGGGTCTACCCAGGAGCCGGGCTGCTAGATCGTTCGTGTATGAGTAACTTTCAGTCTCTTTCAAGATGGCTGATCGTCAGACCTGAGCTGTTATTTTTGGGTCAGTAATTAAGCTTGTTAGACATGAGATGTGTAGACTATCGATCTTGTCCTCGTTGACTAAATAGGGAAGTTGTACGTACTGGCTTCATCAGGCTTTGGATAATAGGCACATAAGCTGTGTCTATAGTCTATTGAGAGTGCTGCGCAAGAGCTGAATGAATACACTACGTAGCTGATCTAGTTTGCTCCTGTGAAGGAGTCATCGGTAACAGCGTCCGTTTAAAGATTTTCAACAAGCAGAAGCCTGTTTGCCAAAAACATGACAACCAGAGTTACGGTTAGCCATGTTTGTCGCTTTCTCTGCCGTAAGCTAAAACCAACATCACCATATCATCTTTCAAAGTCAGAGGTTCGTCAATTCACGCCAGGATCTAGCTGGTACTAACAATCGGTACTTTTGCTTCAGTCGTAGTGTCGATACTACCAGTAGCAGACCAAATCAAGCCAATAGAGGCAAGTAAGAGTCTTTCGAAAAACCTCAGTGCGATGAATTTTCCAAGAGCAGCAGGAAACGTCCGAGAGAATAGAGTCTTGAGCTGAAAACCGGCGCCCATTGGATTTGTTGTCCGGATTGATTTCTCTCACATAATTTAAGCAATTCTGGTTGAGCCTCTCATTCACTTGACAATACCTTAATTTCTTGATAGCAGCTAAGGTCTCCCGCAAGTCAACTGAAGTGACGATTGCACGCAAGCCGAAACACAAACTTGCGATGGATACTCTCACTTTTGCGACGCTAGACGTGCAACTCTACCGACCAGATTGCTTCCAAATGACTCTTCACTTTCGCAAAACCAATAAAGCAAGCAACTTGCAAGTTGTCTCTCATCCCCAATTGACCCACATTCTTCACTCTTAGGTTCTTCAAGCCTGAAGAAAGCGCATCGAAAAGGCTTAACCTCGGCAAATCCGAACAGCCCACCACCAAGCGGCCGAGACATCGGCGGCCGAGCATGATCTCGGATTGCCGATGTTATCCGAGTCAGCACGCCGCCAGCCCTCCGAGCCGAAGCCAGACGCACCTCCGAGGAGGTGCAGGTAGCGGGGCTGCTGATTCGCTGCTACGGTATGCATGTGCCCCACGTAAGAGGCGAGGCTGAGGAAACTCGATGGACATTGATGCGATTGATGTCGTTTCGTTCGGCGCAAGGCTATGTATACTCCGAGCAACGTCGGTGATAGTGTATGCCTGGTCACAATGCGAAACTGGTTTGAGGGGCACGAGTCGTCGAATGGGAACGCGAGCATTCGTCATCAATAGATAACGAACTATGTTTGGAATCCGGGGGAAGTGTCACTATTAACATATAAAAGAGAGCACGCAGGGCAAGTAGATCTCGGTAAGGGATTTTTCAAACAACGAAAAAGGAAATCATATGCTTTGCGTGACTCCTATGCTACGTACAACTGGTACAACTACAATCTCCCAGCAAGACCGAGCCTTCCTCCCAGTGTCCAAAAGAGAAATCTATTCCTCCGCTTGTTTATGCAATTCGGCCGCGTCGGTGGTATCTATCTCCGTCCCAGTCTCGCCTCATTTCGAGTCTAATCGCATTGTCGGGGAAAAAAGGTAGGTAAATAGGGGGTCGTTTTGAGGAAGGTGGGAAGCCGCCCGCTGTGGTTGGTTTATCGTATAGCTACAGGGATGATGGTGTATGGTTTTGTAGCTATATTTACAAGGTGTCCATCTTGTCGAGGATGGCCTTGGTGAACTGGTGGGTGGTGGCCTCACCGCCCATGTCACGGGTGCGGACCTGGCTGTTGGGTCGTTAGCAGCTATCCTCATTTCTGTCCCAGGAGATACGAAAGAACTTACCCCTCGGCGATGACGCCGTAGATGGCCTGGGAGATGCGGTTGGCGTGGTCATCGAGACCAAGGTGACGGAGAAGCATGGCACCGGACAGGATCAAGGCAGTGGGGTTGGCCTGGTCCTTGCCCTTGATGTCGAGACCGACGTGACGGCAACCGGGCTCGAAGACGGCAACGTCACGGCCCATATTGCAGCCGGGAACGATACCAGCACCACCGACGAGGGCAGCACCAATGTTGGACAGAATGCCACCGTAAAGGTTAGGCATGACCATGACGTCGAACTGCTGGGGCTTGCTGACAGCCTGCATGGAGGCGTTGTCGACAATCATGTCGTTGACCTCGAGGGTGGGGTAGTCGTTGGCGACGCGGTGGAAGGTGGAGCGGAAGAGACCGTCAGCCAACTTCATGATGTTGGCCTTGTGGATGCAGGTGACCTTCTTGCGGTTGTTGGCCAGGGCGAAGTTGAAGGCGAACTTGGCGATGCGCTCAGACTTGGCGCGGGTGATGATCTTGAGGGACTCGACGACACCGGGAACGGACTGGTGCTCGAGGCCAGAGTACTCACCCTCAGTGTTCTCACGGATGATGGCGAGATCGACACCCTCGTGGCGGGTCTGGTAGCCGGGGATGTTCTTGATGAGGGAGATGGAGGCGTAGATGTCGAGCTCCTGGCGCATGGCGACGTTGAAAGACTGGTGGCCGGAGCGCTCAATGGGGGTGTGCAGGATACCCTTGAGGCCGAGCTTGTTACGGCGGAGGGAGGCGACGGACTCGCGGAAGAGATCCTCGGTCTTCTCGGGGGTGGTGGTGTTGAGACCAGAGACCTCGACCTGCTCCCACTCAATGGGGACGTTGTCGGCCTTGAAGATGGTCTTGACGCTCTCGGCGACCTCGGCACCGATACCGTCACCAGGGATCAACGTGACCGTGTACTTGCCGCCAAACTTGGTGGGCTTGAAGATGTCAGAGCCGACCGTGGCGTAGGCGCGCGCGGGCTGCGCGGTGCGCAGAATCTGCGTGGAGGAGAATTGTTAGCCATTTGTCCGTGGGTTATCGTGGCATATCTGGTTGCATGTGTGGCCATCTGCTAGTGGCCGTGTATACTGTGTGCCTGCCAATGTGTCTGCTTCTCGCGTATTCCTTTCATATTCCTTCATCCAAATCGCCATGGTCGTGTTGTCTGCGTTATCTGCTGGGTCGCAATTTGGTATGTTGTTGTTGTTTCTCCCCCTCTTACATCGCAGCCTTCCCTCCGCGATCACGATGCACAGACACACCAAGAAAAAAAACCACGTCGCGGGTGGCACAACAGGAAAGGGACTCAATTGGAAGTTGGCAGAGAGGCAACGTACCTGCGCAGTGCGGGCGGATCCTCGGGAAAGCATCGTGACGGTCGTGGGTGCCTCGTGAGGGTATTCGCGGAGCAATAGATGTTGTTCGGGATCGGAGGAGTTGGAGAGTGGAAGAATTCAGAAAAAAGAGTGGAATTCGAGAGAGGCAGAGTTGCTGGCTGTCAAATGCCGCAAGAGCAAGGTACCACGGCGACAGACGGGACGGTAACTGGGAACGGTACACGGTCAAAGTACAGACCGAAGGTGGCAGGCACTGAGGCAGGCTTTTTTTTCCTGCTCTTTCTCGGCTGGCGCTGGCCGTCGTTCTTTCCGTTCTCTCTCCAACGCCTTCGCAGGTGGGGCACCCTGGGGATTCCGTAAGTGGCTGGTCTCCAATTCTCTGCCGTTTCCAGCAGTCTGAATGGCTGAGATGAACAGAAAGACCCGCTTTATTCTTTTCCGGGCGGTCGGAAGAATGGAGGACGACATCCGCGGGAAAGAGAGACTGCGCTGCTCGCGCCTGCTTCAATGTTCAGCCAGTGCTGTCACTCGGGAAGGGAAGGAACCAAACGTGGGGCACCTTGCTCTTTTCGGTTTTAGCGCCTCTTTTCTCTTTCTTCGCGGTTGAGCCTCGGATCTGGACTCACAGCATCCCACGACGTCACGTGTCTCAAGTCAATTGTCACTGGCTCGTCAATGCCCTCGGCAATATGCCGACCTCGAGATAGTTCTTCATCCCAAGCCGCCCGAACTCCGCCTCCCTCGGCACTTATTAGGAAGGCTATACGCAGCAAGATCCCATCATGGAGACTTTGTAGCATACCACGAGAGATTCGCTTATCAAGATCCGTTGCTCAACTGCAGCTGTGGGAAACCCAAGATACCAGTCTATTTCTGCTTCTGTAAGCGCGGACGCAAGGCTATACCGCGCTACCTCCGCCAACGTATGGCCAAAGTAAGTATTGATTTCTTGTTAGGTTCTGCTAAGGGAGCCTCTCTTCTATGCGAATGGATAGAGGAGACCAATTTCTTTTCCGAAATTTGCCCGAGTCATTGAACAGGAACGTTAGGTGAAGACGGTAGCTTGTAACATAGTTTAGATTAGTATAGACCATGTCGGCATAGCGCCCGGCACGTCCTTTTGTTACTAGACGTTAAATACATCATCATTATCATCATTATCAACTCATCTTGACCTCTCACTGATTGCTCATGTAAGACCTCATGTATTGATTTGAGGCTTCATCTCATCATTCATTATAGACCTCATACGGGCGTTTTCGGTCAACGTCGGCTATCTGACATCTTCAGTGAGCCGCGCCCGCCCATTCTTTCCGGAGAAATCCCCGCCAGCCCACCTCTCCACTCCTTTTGTGAGACCGCCAAGTCGGTCTTAGACCTCCCTGGCCGTATTTGCGATGCTGCGACTTCATTCGGCCGAGCGCGCGACCTTCACTCACGACAATACGGATGACTGCAGACGAATAACATCAATTGTGATCTCGACAAGAACAATTCGAGCTTGTGATGTGATTCAATTCCGTCGATTTCAGAAAAAAGATGTAGCATACGGCCAGCAGACTCAATCAGAGGTGGCTAAGACCGCGAAATCGCGGAGGCATCCTCCTCGCAACATCGCAAAGGCTTGCCCAGCCAGCCTCACATTCTCAATGAGTGTAGGACCCATATAAGGGAAGCGAATACAGCACTTTTCGCCAGCTTACCCCATGATTTCGATCCCATTGTAACCAGATGGTTCGATTCCCCATTCGAAACAGTCTGCCCATAATCGTCCTCCCTCGCTCTTACCCAGAGGAGCTCCGCCTATGATGGATCACAGTATCAGCCAATGTGTAGTCTTCGCTATCGCGCGCACAGGGTACTCACAGTTCATATTCTGGATAGACAAGATGCGCTGCTGGCACAGCTGCGGGGTCAGTCCGCTCACCTCGTCCTCCACGATCGACTGGACGGTTTTGCCCGCAGGACAAGCAATGGTATCATTCTTCGGCTTGATCCAGAAGTGAATCATGCCGACATCGTACAGCCTGGTCCTGTTCGTCGGATCGTCAACCTGGCGGTTGTAACTCGTGAAGTAGTGTCCGTCTTTTCCAAGCTCATACACGTCCTTGACGAACTGAGCGGCCCCCTTCCCTCTGATCGTCGCGATGGCGTTATCGCAGAAATCTTTGACAATTGCGTTCGTGGGCAGGTATGTCGGCCGTTCGTCCTTGGCGTTCCAGCATTCTCCTCTTCCGTTCTCCAGCACCGGTTGTTCTTGGTACACATACGTGAACTTGGCTATTCCGCAGCCCTCGTAGTTCATGCTGATCTTTTCCTTCATCCAGAACTCCTCGCCGCGGCCTATCGAGTCACCGTCAGAATTGTAGCTCATCTGGATAACGACCTGGAGCTGTAGTAAAACGTGAAGTAAGCTGATGGGGCCGAATTCACTTACACGGACCCGCGTTGCGCAAAGTGCTAAAGACTTGCACGCAGCTTCCTTCACAATTCCCACCCGTGTCTACCCAATCGAAGGTGACTTTTCTAGCTCTGTCTATTCTCCCCTGGTTACCACCGAATACACCAGTCCATGGCCCGTCTGCCCAATCCCCTCCCATGTTGTCAATTGTGCCACACATCTTGTTGAGTAAACTGCGGCATGTTTGCTTCAGCATGCTCATTCAGCACTGTCAAAAGAAGACGGGATATCTTACGGCCACCAATTATAATAGTAGACTTGCCATTTGTCAGGGCAGGTGATGTTGTAGACGGGAGGGTCATCCAAGTCTGATAGCGTAAGTTCGTTCATTCCCATCATGCCCGCTCCGCCGTTCTTTTCGACGTAAGCATCGATGTCCTCTTGCGTGAAGGTGTAGGTCTTGATCGGAGCTGCGGGCTTTGCGGTCTCGGGGAGATCGACCTCGACAACATTCGTTGGGGATGCCAGGGCGATGCCGAACACAGCGGCGAACGCCCAGAGGAGGCTCACGATGGTCAGCATCGTGGAAGGAGACAGGGAAAGGGCGTGATGAAAATCGTAATGCCGAGGATAACGAGAGTGGAAACTTATGGCCGAACAAGGCCTTGAAAATGATGATCTAGCGGATGTGATGAATCTTCGTGGCTGAGAGGCAGAAGGATGGAGGCCATGAGAAAATTGGTCTTGCCAATGCCCCTTTTATCTCCAGTTGTCTCCTCTCAAAGCCTTGGGCGATGCTTCAACGTTGTCAACCGTCCTCAATCATCGTGTGTTCAGGAAATATCGTAGCTGATGATCTGTGTGACTACCAAAACGCTGGACATGATAACGAAGTTCCTCGAGGTGGCAAAAATGAACTACTCCAATCGCGATACCATCTTCTGCCTCTTGAGAGTTCGTGTTACCCTCGAAAGAGAATCCAATAGGGATGTCTACCTCTCGTTCCGCGCCGTTATAGTGTAACCGCAAACTTGGGCCTCGTCTATAGCCCAAGACATCTCATCTCTTGGTCAGACTCGAGATCGCACAATCGACTCTAATGAGATGGACATTTATGATATCGAAGCGACGTGGAGGCAAACATGCAGTTTTCAATATTCAGCTGACCTCAACTAGGACAGCCAACACACAGCCACATCATGAGTTACGGCATGATACTGCCTTCCATCCATAATGCGGGAGCCTACATGAATGCGAAGATCACCCAAGCAAAGCCAGGTCTGGAACAGATGGTCGCTTGGGATTCTCGAGCCGGGCCGTCACAGCTCATGCCTGGAGCCCGACTGGATAAATGCACGATTATCGTCCCAGATCCAAGGTTCCTTCCCGGGTCCCTAAGTAGTGGGATTTCAAGTTCCCGCTCACCTTCCTATGAGATCAAATGGAGCTCAAGGCAGTTGTGAGGGAAGAATCTTCGAAAGAGATGACATTGCCTACATAAAACGTTACAAAAGGCTTGCAAAACCAATCTTCCGACGGAATCGTCATACAGCGTACAACTAATACCTCCGAAGCCACCGAACCTTAAGGCCCGCTAGGCTGTATTGCGCGAATGAGATGGCAGTGTTGTAGATATGCCAAAGCAGCATGGCCATCGTGATATCAGGCAACCATTTCCCACGATCCCACGTTGGTCTCATGTCGTGATATTCGGTGTTCTGAAGGCGACGAGTCGGAGGAGTCCCATCCTATTTTTCGCTTATCTCTGCGGCTGGGAGGCAAGTGTTCTTAGGCGACCGTAAGAGTGAACCACAGACTTCGAGCAACTATCGTGGCATTCGCCAAGACTTCTCGAAATACAAATGACCTCGACAAAGAGCACGAAAGCATACAGCCGCATCTGTGTATCCTAAATAGGCACCGCGGGAACTATTCAGGGATTCCGATCCAAAATGGGTCGTCGGTTGTGTTTTAGGCAACCGTCTTCGTCCCGGTTACCGGCAGGAACCCGTCTCGTCACCGCCACACGCTGAAATGCCCGGCCTTTTCTCCGCGGGGCAACACCAAGCCTTCTCGACCGGCAAAGCGAGTCGATAACGTACCACCTGACTGGAACGTTTTTCGTGTACTAATGGTTGATGTGAACTTCCATAGATGGGGCTGTGGAAATTGGACTTTCAAGCGACAGTTGCAGAGGAAACCCTCAAAGTACGCTTGCGTTCTACCACATGCCGATGAAATGAAACCATCGAGATCCACTACCAGGTTGGCTCATGAACGAGACAAGATGTAGACGTGCTTAGCACGGCGCCAGCTTGCCGAACACCTAGGTTCCCGGGCCGTACCCAAGGGGAGTCTGCTACACTTGCATCATGATTAACGAAATAGAGGGCAACCTGACATGATAATGCCAGACTCCAGGCTGTGCGTGAATAATAATTTTTGTACTTAGCCTAGAGCTTTTGATGCACGCTGAGTCTTACTGAGTGTTCATTAAGTTGAACCCGGCAGCTACGAGTTCAGTGGTATCTACCTAAGTAGACAGCTACAAGTGGTCAGACACTGTCAACCTTGGAGTCACGGGGGTCAGGATTGACTCCGACTGGCTTCTGTTCTTGGGAAATTGTGTTACTCGAAGTGGTGACCAACCAGGCCCGGAGTCATGATCGTGACTTCTATCCCTTTGGCTGACTTACACAACAAATGCCAAATATTCATCCGGCTGCTCTCGTGTTGACTTTGGACTATAGGCCCTTGCAATGATAGCTGTAATAAAGTAGGAGATCCTATTGACGAATGCCGTGACAAAGTATTTAACCAAGGTATTGGGCAGTTACTCTTCACCGTTGAATCACGTATTGAGCTAAAGGGGCCTAATCTGTGTTGCAGCAAAAGTCACTGGGCCTCTGTCTGAAGAATTTACTCTAAGTCTAGAGGAGCTACTGACCGATCATTGCGATGTGACTCAGCATCAACTTCTTCCTTGTCCTTGAAGGATATCTAGAAGTAACAGAGTGACACAAAATGCCACAAGAAGTCATTGCACGTATCATCTCTCGTTTATCTGCTAGAGTCTTTATGGGTGAAGAGTTTAGCAGAGTTGATAAATGGGTGCAAGCGTCTGCTAGTATACCGAAGCATCCTTCTGTCGTCTGGCAACTGGGTTACTACCCTCGGTGGTTTCGACCTTATCTCCACTGGTTTCTACCGTCCTGCAAAAACGTTCGAAGCTGACTGAGCGACTGCCGAAAGGTGTTGATGCCTCACATTGCTCGCCGAGAAGCCAGGAAAGCCGACGGCGAGGACTTTGACGATTCATTGGAGTGGTTTGACCAAATTCACACTTCAAATTATGATCTCGCTACAGGATAAGATAACAACTTACCCTCACATTGGTGGCAATCCATACCACGAGCGATCTCTCCATGATAGACCTCGCCCTAAATCCGGAGCTTTTACAAACCTTACGTGGGGAGTTGGTCCAAGTTCTGAGTGTTGGATGATTGAAAAAGACCGCTTTCTCGAATTTGAAGCTCATGTACAGCGTGATAAAAGAGTCTCAACGTCTGAACTTGCCCGTGTTGTTGTGCACTAGGTAAATCAAGCTCGGTTCCCTACTCTTGCTGGGAGAACTTGACTAACCTCCAACGTCAGGCAACCTGGCGCCGTCTTGCTACCGCGAACATCACTCTTTCCAACGGAAATGTGATCCGTAAAAGTCAAAAGGTAATTCGTAATAACACCCATATGTGGGGCGAGAATTTGTATCAGAACTCTACCGAATATGATGGCCTACCGATGCTTCAACATGCGGGGGACAGATGACGAGAAATACGCTCATCTCGTCAGTACCAGCATCAAACACCTTGGGTTCGGGCATGACATAAACGCTTGCCCTGGGTGATTCTTGACGGCTTAAATACGACTGGAAGCTATCTGATGGGCACAAGCCTGAGATCACCGGGTTTGGGATGACTCTACTTCTTGACCTATTTGTGAAAATCCTGGTTCACCAGCGCCAAGAAGAGCTTGACCTTGAATCCCTCGCATCGTAGATGTCACGAGCTTGCAAGAGTGGGATATCTTGGGGGACAATCAAGGATTGGATGTATGTGGCGCTTTTTTGTGTAAGGTATTGCTAGTCAAGCCAGTCAACTGTTTACATTGTGTACGGTTGACGGTCACTTTTAGATACTCCAGCAATGAATTCTGGTTCCATAATGCGCCCCGGTCCAACCCTGCACAAACGAGTTACAGTCTTCACCTGTGCATTTTGGATAACAGGCAGACATGGAGTGGAAAAACTTCTAAGTGCATCAATTGCGGAATGGTACAACGTGTCGGACTGAGCTTGGTGTCCTGTTCTTGCGCATAGTCGATGACTATTGTATTTTTTTATTATGTTACCCTCAAAGCAACATGAAGCATCTAGGTGAGCCTCGAGGGAGCTCCGAGTGTCATTTCTATCAAATATACCGCCATGTCGTTTGGACAAATATCCAGATTCCCTAAACACCTCGGAAAAACAATCACTGCTTCTGCGCAATGATTCTGTAACTCGTCGTCACCAGCCGCATGGTGTCCATCTTGACAAAGGCCTGCCCATCCAGGCAAAGCCGATTGATCAGCGTCTTGAAGTGGGGCGGCAGCAGGTGAACCTTGACCAGTCCAAGAATGACCTGCCGCAGACTGCGGAAGTAGACATCGGCTTTGTCGATGAGCGGCGCCTGTAATCCATCTATGCTCGCGTTGTCGGACTTCAAAATGGAGAAACCGGCGTCTGTCAAGGCCTTTTCGAAAGTTTCGGGCGTCGGGGTCCCCACAGCTCCGATCAGCGGCTTTGTCCGCCGCATCAGCTCCGCATGCTCCGGGCTTGTCGCATCGTACGCCGGCAGGCTAACCCAATCCAGCAACGAAATCTTGGCACCAGGCTTGAGGACGCGGCGCAGCTCGCTGAATAGTTTCGGGAGGTCTTTGCATAGGCTGAGTGCCTGGATCTGGTAGAATGCGTCAAAGGAATTGTCCTCGAACGGCAACGGCAGCTCGTTCATGTCCTGGATTGTGAAGCTGTTTTGCAAGCCCATCTGCGCGGTGAATTCCCTGGCCTGGGCGACCTGGTTCGGGTCGATGTTGAGACCGGTGACCACGGCGCCGGTTACGGCCGCCATGTGGGCCGCGACTCTTCCGCGACCGCATCCGAGATCTAGAACCTTTTCTCCGGGCTTCAGACCAATGTCCCGGGCGATGGACTCCTCATACAGCATCTGATTGTCGAGAACGGACGCCTTCTTGTCCATCAGAGGCGGGATGTACATCTTCTCCACATCGCCCAGCGCGCAGAGGTGATTCAAGACTCCATAGTAAGCCTGCAAGCAGTCGCCAACTTTGGCCTTATAATCTGGGCCGAGCGTCTTGACCATTTGCTCCTCATCTGCCCAGTCGAGGCTGTAAATGACGTAGGACGCCATGAAGTCGTCGACTTGTCTTGGCGTCAAGTCAAGGAGGTACTTGAATGACTTCCAGAACGTCTTGGAACGCTTGGGCGATGCTGTGCGATTAATCTCATGTTTTGCGCTGTTGTTGCCGTTGTCGCTATTGCTGCGGCCGAGATGCAGACCATGCTTTTTCTTCCACGATGCCTGAGCGGCGGGCTTTAGCGTTGAGACGTCATCTGAGGTCTCACTGGGACGGGGGCTCGTATCACCGACGTGAGGTATTGTTGTCGCCGATGGCGGTTGCGCAATCGCTGCCGCTACTGACATGACTGCCGGTGGAATGATAGATGACGTGCGAGTGGAAGAGATTAAGGGGCTTGTGTTTGTATCCGTGGGTGAGAGGTAAGAGAGCCAACGGGAGGAGGGGAGTCGAAAGAGGTAAGAAAATAAGCAAGCTGGGTATCACAGTGTGCACTCAAGAAATGATGGAGAGGCCAAAGGGAACAGGTGATGGGCGATCCAAAGTCCTTTATACATGGTACTCTCATTTTCTTTACTCGCCTGTTTGGGATCGATCAATCATCTGTGACCAAAATGGCAAACCACCCAGTCAAAGAACGAGAAAGATCTGACGAAGCCGCAAACCGGATTGCTTTCTAATCTCTCGTGACGCTGCTCGGGATGGACGGAGGTATGTCCGATGATTCCGACTGGGTCCAACAATCACCAGACCACTCAAAAAGGACGGGAGCTCCAGCGCTGGGACTAGCAGCCAGCCCATCATCAGCTAATAACACAAGGGGCAGGAAAAGCAGCGCCTTCGAACGTCCCGAGCACATCAAGATAGAGGGGGGAGAGAGCAGAAAAGCCCGCGGGGGGCGGACGCAGCGGACGGACTGGACCCCCTGGCTTACGCGCTGAGTCACCTCCGGGGCCACTTGATTGTTCGATAAAGAATCTGTCCACCAGGCTCTGTCCACCAGGCTCTGGTGCGACGTGTGTAACTGTAAGGTCCTGCCTGTCCTTGTCTGGACTCTACCGCCTTGTAAGAACGTCCGCCCTGCGGTCTACGCCGCCGTTGCATTGAGTTTTACGCTTCTCTCTCTTGCCCTTGTCCATTGGCTCCTCTGTCCCGCTCTTTTCCATTCGTTGCGCGTGTGTGTTCGTAGCATTTCGACGTCATTGTGGCGCTCTCTGCATGGCTTCTAAAATTTTGTTGTTCTCTTTACCGGCTTACTCCCGGTGGATTACTATCAAAGCCCAAATTCCCCCCATTTGGCCCCATTTAAGACCACTTTATTAAGCACACCCGGCATGGCACGCGGATCCCGCGTTCGTCGCGATAGGGCTGATGTGGCTGGAGCTGTGTGGTTAAAGCGGTCATGAAGCGCCGGCGAAAGGGCGAGGGCGCCGGTGGTCATGGCGGCCGCTTGTGTTTCGCCATGTGTGGCTCAGCTATTGCTCCAAAGTGTGGTTACGTCGTGGACTCATCACCAGCGGAGAGATGTGATGAATGGATGGATTGTCAATGATACGATGAAACCACTTCATTGGACCAGAGAGAACCTGTAATTTGGATCAGGATCACTTAAGCTTCTCCTTGCCATTCTTTGCCATACTCTACCATCCGACCGTCGTCACTCTTGTCTTTTTAAACTACACATGGCCTCAGCTTGGCATCGGGCACTGCCTTGCTCCCATGAGCCGCAATCCGGCCTGGACCGGTCCGCATATTGCTGCAGCCCAAAAGATTATTCACAGCATGCATTGTTCTTTCCAGGGCCTGGCTCGACCCATCTGTTCGATCATCAGACGTTCGAGGTAGACTTGCTAGGGTCTTTGGCGGCGGCCTCTTCATTTCATGTGGTCATACGTACCAGGAATGGCGCGGCCTGTCTCAACGATAATTGCTGGAGTCCAAGCTCAAAGTCAACTCAACTCATCTCCTTTCAAGATCGGTTCAGGTACCCAATCATGGCTATCGACGGTTGTCGTAGGGTATATATGGCTCTAATTCCTGCCCGTAATTAACGGCGTCGTTTTTGCGACAACGGTTCTGAACTACGGGTCGCCACTTCACTGCGTTATCTGACCTTGATTGTGGGTAGTTATTGATACTTCGTCACCCCCAGGACCCTACGGTTCGAACCAACATCACTGTGATAGGGATACCAACAGTATATCCTTGCACCAACCGTGTGAAAATCTCTGTATTGATTGATTCTGCGTAAGGAGTAGAAGGGAGATTCCAACCGGAGGTTGGGTGGGTAGTCGAGGTCTAAGTGTACCCCCTCGAGGTGGCCCATGCTTTGCCCCTACTCGCGGCCGAATTGGACTTCCAATCCGACACATACAAACAAGATATTCGATCAAGGGCTAACGGCCGATTTTTGATTTGAGAACCCATTCAGCGTGCCGGAGTTACAATAAGTCACCTCAGTCAAGCAGAATATAGCGCGTCGCCTTTGGCCTATCATGCCTCGATACAACACTTGAATCAACAATGGTCTTCCACCTTTGGCGAATTCGCTAGAAAAACTCCTTCTTATCGTTCTTTGCGATTCTCGAGCGACTCAATTGAATGAATAATTCGGGTATCAATATGACATTCTGACCGGTTTACTCTCTGAAAAACCTTGAAGACAGGTGCTCACGAAAGATTGCCGCAGTTCTGCGGAAGAGTCTTTGGATGATTTTCGGAAGGAAGGCAATTAGGCCCTGATCTCCTCGCGGCCAAGGCCAATTGCCAGTCGCCAGAGGGTACAGCGCCACTGGAAGTCAGGGGGGGGGGGGGGGTGGGGGGGATAATACGTGTGTTTCCAGCGGCGGGAAGGGTTCTGGCAACAAAACTGGCAACAGGCACAGCTTCTCAGAAAACCAGTTCTGAGCATGGAATCAGCCCCTTTGGCAACAACTATACCATCTCCGGCCTGTCTCAGCCACTGATTCAGAAAAGAACATTGCATAACTATGGCGTAGATGAGAGACCGGATCCGGCAGCCAAACTACAGCCAGAAGAGGTTTGGCATCACGGAAAAGGGTTTTCCGTTGTTTTTATGCACCGATTACATCAGCACTGGCAACTGGCAATTGGCTTTGGACGCGAGGAGATATTCTTAGGAACTCTATGATCAATTTCGGTCTTCTCTTCGATAACGCTCGCACGTGCTTCAGGTAAGGTCCGTGAACCCGATCCTGGTACGAGTCGCAATGAGCGTAAAGCACAATCTTCTTGAGCTGAGGAGCCCAGCTTGGGTGCCTCATCGCCTCGTCAAAGAATGTTTCATGCACGAAGAGTTTCTTGTTATCAGCTACGGTGGTGATCTCCAAGTGCTTCAGTCCTGGACAATGTTGGCAGAACGCAATCAAGGATCTGTGACCCAGCTGGGTGGTTGCCGGCAATTTGATAGAACGAAGATTCGGGCACGCTGCCGCCAACTTCACGATGTCATCGTCCGTCAAGGCTTTGGCGTGGTTGTCAGGATGGTAGCCGTCGTCTAAGAACAGGAGTTCAAAGTGCCACAGATTGCGACAGACTTTGATAAAAGAGACAAGCTCGTCGATGATTTCGCTGCAGATAAGATCAGCTGGTGCTATTCAATAGAGTTTGGTGGAGCGGCAATCGTGAAAGTAAAATCGATTGCCGACTTCTGCTGTCACCGAACTGGCTGAGAGCACATGGGCTACACATCAGGACATGTCGACTTACGGTGTCAGATGCGTCCCAATTCCAAAGATGAGCTGTCTTGTCGACGACCCCAGAAAGTCCAGATGATCATTCTTCCGATCCTGATTGCTTCCGAATAAGATATTCTTAGTACCCTTCTCAATGTCGGGACACCTGATACTGTCGGAACGGCAAGGCTGATAAGGAGCAATGGGCAGGTATCGTGGGCTGGCTGGCGCCTGCCCTGGGCGAAGTGGGACAGCCGGCTTAGTCATCACGGCCGGTTAAGGTGGGACAACCACCCAGGCCGTCCCCACCTACTTCGATCGGCCCCTGCCCACAATGTAAATAGGAAGAAGAACAACAACAGCAATTATCACGGACATCGACGTGATTGTTGCTGAAGATACACCCTCATGAGGAAATGTATCACTCCTGTGTTACCAACAGATACGTTTCAACGGCTAGATTGTTGATGTCGTTGGTTTCGGCGGCTGGGGCTCAGACGGAATAGCGACTGTCTGAGGCAGTTGGGCAGGCAAGACCACTTTGTCCGTCGTTACCAGGTCGATGACATCGGTTTCTTCCTCGAGTAGACACACCGAGTCCGTCGATGTTGATGGCATCGAAGAAGCTGGTGGCGTGGCCAACTATGAGGTTGGCGAGGGTTCGGCATGCTGAGGTGCTTCTGGCGTCTTTGGTGCCTTTGGCTGGACTTTGATAGCACGGGCTAGAGCTTCGTTCCTGTCTACCCTTACGAAGAAGCCTGCAAGGGAGCCAGACTTCTTCGCTGTGGAGGACTTTTCTGTCCGAATTGGAGGCATTTTGGCCGATAAAACTTGAAATCACAAAGAAAAATTCACGGTGAGTGATGAAGACGGAAAATGTAGAAAGAGTCAAAGGGGGGGGGGGGTCGAGATATTTCGTGAAAAGTGGAGGCTGGCTAGCACAACAACGATAAATGAAATTCCAGGGATGAGCAATGTCACCTAGGACAGCCATCGAGGGGCATCTGACTTATTACAACGTTCATTTGTCGCTGCAAATTTGTATTCAGAGCATTTTGTTATTGCTCAAATCATCAAGGTCAACTTCATTTTAGTGCTCTGGCTCTGGTCGGCTCGTTGCCAGTAGCCAGTTGCTACCTAGTACAAAGCCACAGCCCCGCCAAACAATTATACCACTGTATTAGGCCGTAGTGTCGGGCATACGAAAGTCTGTTATAGCAGGAAGGGCTCTGGCAACAGATCTCTAGCAGTGGACACCTCTCCGACAATGCCAAATTTGAGCTTACAACCAGCCCTGTTCGGAGTAACTTTACCATGTTCGCCCTGTCTGTCACTGATTCAAAAAAGAATATTTTATAACTTTGGCGTCCACGAGAGAACGGACCCGCCTCCTAGATTTGATAGGTTTAGTATGACGGAGAGTGTTTTTTATGGGTTTCAATGCACATCCTGGCTACTGGCAACTATCAGTGGCAACGATCCAATTAGGCCCTAAGTACAACAGCGAGCTCTTGCGGTTTGAAGTTTAAGATAGCTTTGCGTGCGATTAGTGGTGAAATTGGGCAAAATCGAGCCTTAAATGGCGAGGAAATGTCGAAGCCTGCGATGCTCTCCATGCTACACTTTGTGTTATGTTCAAGTTTGTATCTCCGCCTCGTCCAGTGGACCTCGCTGCTGCCCCGAGGCTCAGAGTAGATCCCATTACTGGGACTGACCAAGTTTTCTGCAGACATGGAAGTGACCTGGATTACTTATACGCAGTTGGCATTGATTGGGCTCTCCGTTAGTGGCGTTAATGCGAATCTTGGCCGTAATAAAGGCTGGGGCCCAACAAGTTATTCAACTTCAGGTGGTGCACTGTTTGGTGGCATCCATATTCTGACATACAATACTGATGAGATGATACTCGCTGTAGAAGTCTTTGTCCACGCTACCCGCATGTGCTCGTTCGCTTAGTTATTTGCAGGCACGATCCTCGACGGAGCTGTCCGAATGCTGCTGTTTCGAGGTGGAACAGCCCCTGATTACTGAAACAGCGTACCTTCAATACTAGCACCAGAGCTAATTTGAGCTCCACGAGCTTCTTTGTGAGTTTCATTCAGACGGCCCAATGAAAACACTAAAGACTTTGTGACAGGCAGATCATAGCATGTTATCTTAACGACAATCAGACTGATCTACAACATCGCGCGGATCGCTCCAAACCCCACAAGACAACTACATTACGGGGCAACGTGTCAGACAAGTCACGGAAGCCTTTTACGATACCGAATACGTAAAATAGGGCTAAACATTCCGTTGACAACGATCGCGCCGAGCAAAAATGGGATGACAGATTAGGATCTCCTAATTCATGACTTGGGGCAATCTCAACTTTGCAAAGGTTTTGGAACATCGATGTACTCTTTCTCCGGCCAAGGGGCTACAAGACTCGACTGAAAGGCAAATTCAGCATCACAAAGTTAAATATGTCCACCACTTCTCTCGTACATCTAAGCTGATTTGCTTTTCGACTCCCATTCATCTCATTTCAAGCCTGTCTGGTACAGATCCTCACTATCAATTATTTTCGCATCAATATCTCTCACGCAGTCGCGGAACTACTTACTATATCCTTCAAAATCAAACACCCGACCATCTCGCCCTCCCTTTTGTGCGCCTCAAAATGCAGCTCACTACTCTGACAGCTTGCCTGGCGCTTCTCGTCGGCCCGGTATTTTCTCGTGAGTACTCAGTTTTCCACAGGGCCGGAGCAAGTGTCCTGTTTTTATCTTGAGTTGTTCGAATAGGGCAGCCCGCTTGGTTTCCTTGTATTATCCAATCACACAGGCGTTTAAAGATACACGAATCAATGAGATGAAATGAAGACATAACTAACGACATGAAACATCTAGAAAGTTGTAACAACGGCCGAGGGTTTTGCAAAGGCAGACGATGCGAGCCAAATAACGACCCGAGCGGCGCTGGCCCGTTTGTTGGTAACTTCAAGAAATGTCAGACCGGAAACGGACGATCTCAAGTCGACGACTTCATTTTGGCGGCGGTAATCAGGATGCTCAAGTCAACGCCGGTGCTGCATGCAATAACGGCAGAGGAACTTGCAGCGCTCGCGGTGCATGCGAACCTAATAACGATCCCAGCGGCGCTGGACCGTTCGTGGGAACTTTTGAGGAGTGCTTTAGTTAGAGATGGTGAATATCATATTCAATACAACCAACCCTTCAGATTTAGTTGACAACTTTCAACACCAATGGCAGCCCCAAGTGAGATAGATGCGACATCGTGTCATCAGTCTTCATGGTGGGCGGCGGAGTTTATATATCTTAAGTCCGGTTCCAGATCAGGGGCAAAGGAGCTTACTCCAGGACCATTCATCCAAAGCAATCCCCTTGCATGAATGACTACAGCTCAAGCTCAGCCCAAGAGCTAATTCCGAATCGTAAATGCTCTGATGGTCAGCAAGCTTTACCAACAGTTGGTGGACTTTTGAGGTAGGCCAGTGATCAGCGCAGTGCGGGGTAGCTCCTCGCCTCTCGGTTCCATCACCGACCCGCGCTGTGACCCCTCCAAAGTATGTCGCGATCGGGCTTGATGACGTTTACGCTGTCGAAGTAGCTACTATTTAGGCCGTCTCTTTGCCCTTTTGACCGTTCCCGCTTCTCACAGGAAGTCAATTAACTGCTAGCCGTCCTCAGCAGATTACGTTCACTCTTCTCAACGCCTTGTTCAACAATCACCCAGCACAACTCGCGACCATGGCATCTAAGGAGCTCCCCGCACGTCTCAAGGAAGGCATCGAGAGCACCAAGGTCGAATACCGCCAGCTCGGAAAGTCCGGACTGCGTGTTTCAGTTCCCATCTTTGGCTGCATGAGTTTTGGAGACTCGCGCACCATCGGCTGGGCTCTGAATGAGGAAGAGGTATATCAGATTCAACATTTGTTTGAATACTGCGTGGTAAATGAGCGGCATCGCTAAGACTATATCTATTCAGGCACTGCCTCTCCTGAAGGCCGCTTACGATAAGGGGTTGAACACATGGGATACCGCGAACGTGTACTCCAATGGAGCTTCGGAGCGAACGATTGGCAAAGCACTTAAGAAATACAACATCCCCCGTGAGAAGGTGGTCATCTTGACCAAGTGTTTCTTTGCTGTCGGCGAAGAGCCAGGTACGTTGTCACAGTCAGCCGTGTCTTTCGTGAGTCGGATTCCTAACGACCTTCGTACTCTGCAGAGACTCGCCACTTCAACTTCCGCGAGGAGATTAACAAGTCCAAGGACTACCAGAACCAATGGGGTTTGTCCAGAGCTTCTATCTTTAACCAGGTAGAGGCTTCGTTGAAGAGACTGGACACTCCGTACATCGACCTCCTCCAGATTCACCGATTCGACCCCAGGACACCCGTAGAAGAGACGATGAAGGCGCTGCACGATTTGGTGCAGACAGGGAAGGTCCGGTACATCGGTGCCAGCAGCATGTGGGGTACCCAATTTGCCCAGATGCAGTTCACTGCCGAGAAGAACGGCTGGACAAAATTTGTGAGCATGCAGAATCAGTATAATTTGTTGTATCGCGAAGAAGAAAGGGAGATGAACCGATTCTGTGACGCCACTGGAGTTGGACTCATCCCGTGGGCTCCTCTTTGTAAGTCAATGGCCCTCAAATTCGGCTTCGGCACATGCTAATCGGTGACATCAATTAGGCCGTGGTCACTTGGCCCGACCCCCGAAGGACTTCGGCTCCACTTCTCGTAGCAAGACCGAGAAGGAGGGTCAGCCTGGAAGCCATGGAACGGTGGAGCCGGACCTCACCATCATCAAGCGAGTTCAGGAGATCGCGGAGAAGCGGGACTGGCCCATGTCCCACGTGGCTCTTGCATGGATCAATAAACGAATCACGAGCCCCATTATTGGCTTCAGCAGCGTCGAGAGAATTGATCAGGCAATCACTGCCGACGGCAAGGTCTTGACCGATGAGGAGGAAAAGTACCTTGAGGAACTGTATCAGGCCAAGGCTATCTCGGGTCATGCGTAATTCAGCCGCGCGGGGAAGGATCTAGCTACTTAGCCTTTGGATAACAAAGTAGAGCCAATCGGATCTTTTCATAAGCCTTCTTGAACATGTCTGTATAGTATCAATAGTAAACAAGATGGCTAGCATCTCCCCGGAAGTTGGCAATGATTGACTCTTCTAAGAAATCGACGAAGCTTCGGTTAAGATATCAAGGCTCCCCGATACCTGCCTCCCGGCACTGCCTTGATATACGGAGCCGAACACGAACTCGGAAGTATGAAGATTCGGACCCCAGATTGGCTGAAGCTGTTTCCGTCTGATCTTCCTCAAATCCTCGTAACACAGACCGTCGCAGAACATGACCTTTTCCCTGATTCGGCGACGGGACAATAACCAACACTATCTCGAACACAACCGATGCAGCCACCTCAGGTCGATTCTAACTCTTGTTCCTCTTTTTCCCCGCTTGACTTACACAATTCATCCTTCCAGGGTCGTACCTCAAGTCACAGCCGTCTGAAAGCATAATCGCATGACACCTGCCGACCCATGATATGCGATCTCGCTGCCGAGGGTGGAAAGCAACATGCTCCTACCCGTAGGACCGGGATACCAGGAAGGCTCCTTACTGAAGTTCTTCAGAGAATTTTCTAACAGCCAAAGACCTTGACAAGTTGTCAAAATATAGGAACACTTCCATTTTGGGTCATGCGATGCGAAGAATCATCCATGATATCCACCATGTCGCTACCTCCCGCGCGGCGCTACCTGGTTCATCTGTAATTAAGCTCATTGGACAAACCCAGACGAAAGTAATGAGATCGTAGTTGCTTGATCGTAATGAGGTCATTGCCTTTCCGTCAGTTCCGAAGACGAGCCCCCGTCGGAATGAATCTTGCATCATATATCGTCTCAGGCCCCCGCCATGACCCAGCCCATTTGGCCCATTTGGGATGATGATCGTATGTTAGTGGAACGTCGAGAAAAAGGGAATCGAGCAGCTCTTGACTCTTTCAAATTGTTGCTACCTCATCATGATTTTCTCGACGCTGGTCTTCGTCTCTCTATTTGCTCAAATATGGGCTGCACCGCAGGAAGGGGGCGGCGAAACCCCCCGAGTCACCATCAAAGCGCCTCAAGCGAACCTGAAAGGCACTACGAAAGGATTTCTCGGAGCCAAGGCTGCTGAAGTTGAATCATTCAATGGAATCCCCTTTGCCAAACCTCCCATTGGGGAGTTGAGGTTCAAGCCACCCGTACGCCTTACCGAAGCCATGGGCGAAGTTGATGCTACCACGGAACAACCAGAGTCGTGCCCGCAATTCATCCTACAGCCCGACTTTGGCTCGCCGCTCATCCCTCCAGATCTTCTCGACAAGGTCCTCAATCTAAATATTCTCAAGAACCTGGCTGTTGGGCAAGAAGACTGTCTTTCTATTAATGTGCAACGCCCCGCCGGGACAAAAGAGGGAGACAAGCTACCGGTGATGTATTGGATCTTTGGCGGTGGCTTTGAATTAGGCAGCACCTCTATGTACAACGGAGCTGGTCTTGTCGCAGAAGGAATGTCTACAGGCAAGCCATTTGTTTTTGTGGCAGTCAACTACCGTGTAGGTGCTTGGGGATTCATGCCGGGGAAGGACCTGATGCAGGAAGGGAGCTCTAATGCTGGTCTTCTGGACCAAAGAATGGGGCTTGAATGGGTCCAGGACAACATCGCCAGCTTTGGGTAAGCCCTCAAGTTTTCAAGGCACGAAGACGAATGAAAAAATGCTAATTGCGCGTGTCTCAGTGGCGACCCGGATAAGGTTACTCTATGGGGAGAGTCGGCCGGTGCTATATCGATCTTCAGCCAACTGACCCTCTACAACGGTAACATTACACGGAATGGGAAGGCTCTTTTCCGCGGCGCCATAATGAACTCCGGATCGGCTGTTCCGACAGATCCAATGGACTCTCCGAAAGCCACAAAGGTCTATGACACGGTCCTTTCCGCGGCCGGGTGTGCTGGGGCAGCTGATCGGTTGAAGTGCTTGCGAGACCTTTCATACGATGTGAGGCTATCGATATGTCTATGTTACTGGACGTGAATTCTAATGTGTATGGATAGGACATGCGGAAAGCCGCCAACTCCGTACCTGGCTTTCTGAGTTATAGCTCAGTTGCTCTTTCGTATCTTCCGAGACCCGATGGAAAGAACATCGTATCGAGTCCAGAGGTATTTGCGACTTCTGGAAAGTTACCCAAGGTTCCCTTCATCCTCGGCGACCAAGAAGACGAAGGCACCCTTTTTGCACTGTTCCAACCGAACATCACTAGGACTCGAGAAGTTGAAGGCTATCTTAGCGAACTCTACTTCAACAATGCCTCTCCACAACAGATTAAGGAACTAGTAGGTACTTACGGCCCCCGCCCTTCTGAAGGATCACCATTCAGGACCGCAGGATTCAACGAAGTCCGACCGCAGTTCAAGCGGCTAGCTGCTATCCTAGGTGACACGGTCTTTACCCTCACCCGTCGAGCCGTATTCAACATCTCCCAAACAGTTCAACCCGAAGTCAACACCTGGAGCTACCTTGCCAGTTACGACTACGGCACGCCTGTTCTTGGCACGTTCCACGGATCGGACCTCCTCCAGGTATTCTACGGAATCAAGCCAAACTACGCTGCTTCGGCGACGCGGGCGTACTACTTCAACTTTGCTTACAACCTGGACCCCAACGACTCCTCTGGCGGCACGGGGAAAGCAAAGATGAATTTAATTGACTGGCCCAAGTGGAGAGACGGGAACAAAATGATGCACATGATGGCGAATAATGCGGATTTGATAGATGATGAATTCCGGCAGGACAGCTTCAACTTCTTGTTGAATAATGTGGAGAAGTTGCGTTTCTAGTCTTATCCCATCGGGTGCTGATGGACCTCATTTTTGCCAAGACTCAAACGCTCCACTATTTACCCATTTTTTCCCCGCGTTGAAAGGGGTACTTGACGGTACGTCATTTATCCCTATGCTCTTTTACCTATTATTGCCACTATTACTACTATTTCAATTAATTCTGCGATGTTTTCTAGTGATTCTGATGCTTCTAATGCTTCTATTACTTCTGTACGTAGTTGTATCCCATCGAGTGCCACTTGACGCCATTTTTGCCAAGCCCCAAAATACCCACTATTTACACTTTATTACCCCGCATTCAAAGGGATACTTAACAATACGTCACTTATCCCTATGCTCTTTTGCCTATTATCACCACTATGTTACGGCCAGCTAGTCGTAGGGGTAGTTTGCAGAAGTTGAGGCTGCGGAACTGGTAACAGTAATCGTAGTCGGGGATAGCTTCAGGGAAGCTATGTCTGTCAATCGTAAGGGTAGGTAAGGCTTCGGTGATCAATCGTAGTCTTGTCAAGGTAGTAGCTGAAAGCGGATGTTAATCCTGATACGAAGTCAATTGCTGAAGAGCTATGGAAAGTCTGTCCTAGAGTCCAGCTCAAGTCCATCCTTATATACAAGTCCTGATCCTGAACATGTCCCTTGTCCCTTGGGTCGTCTTGGGTCATTCTGATCCAGAATGATCGTTTAGCCCCCAAGTCGTGTTGGATCATATTGATCCCAAATGATCCTTATCTTATCATCACGTGACTTGTACCATAGTTCTTCCGTTCCGTGAGAGGGTGCCTTGTGTCCCTTATCTCCTGCATATGTGGTGTATTATAACCGCCGCGAGCCTGCGGGGCAGGCCCTGTTCTTGGTCATGCATGTTGGGTCGTAACACACTATTACTACCATTTCGATTAATACTGCAATGTCTTCTAGTGATTCCGATGCTTCTATTACTTCCGTAAGTAGTTATATAGTAGTTAAGATCCTTCTAGAAGACCTTACTACTACCTATAATACAGACTATATGCCAGAACGCTGTGACGCAGCAACAGTCCGGCCCCACGAACCTCCAGCTACCGAGCATAGACCTCCGGGCTCCTTCCGGCCCTTTGACGTGCCAGCCCGGGCCCAAGAAGTACAGCAGCTGCCGGCAAGCCCGCTGGATCTCTTCGTCCATTACGTTCCGCAGAGTCTCGTGGAGCAGTGGGCCCAGTGGACAAATGCGATGCCGTTGTCTGGCCCTAGGGCTAGAACGTCTAGAGTAAATTCATGGCGGCAGACTTCAGTAGAAGAGATCTACCTCTTCCTAGGGATCCTATTATATATAGGGATCCATAGGGAATCTACATTATCAACATATTGGTCAACCCAAGAGCAAAGAGAGGATCCTATCCACCTATTTACGCGGTTTAGTTCTAGAAACCGATTCCAACTACTGCTCCGGCGACTACGGATATTTAATACTGCTGAATTCCAGCCCAGCCAGCCCAGCCAGGGCCGGGGCCGGGCTCAAGATAAAATGCCAGATGTATACCGGAAGGTTAACCAGTGGTCAGCCCACATCCAAGAGACTGGGGATTCCTTTTGTACACCTGGTTCAGATCTTACAGTTGATGAGGCTATGGTTCGATTTACAGGTCGATCTCTTAAGACAACAACGATTCCAACGAAGCCTATTCCAACTGGCTATAAGATCTGGATCCTTGCCCAGTCTGGCTATTGTATACGGTGGCTGTGGCACGTACATGGAAAGGGCCCATACGCATTAGTCCCTCAGGCCCAGCCAGCTGGGCTGGCTGCTGGAAAGCTGGCTCTGTTGACACCAAAACAACAGGTAGTAACTACCCTTGTTTCCCTACTTCCAGCTGCAACCTACCACGTCTTTCTTGACAACCTCTTCGCCTCTATACGGCTCTTTCGTACCCTACGGAAGCAACAGGTTGGAGCTTCTGGTACCTGCCGAAAGGATAGTGGGATAGAAAAGACCTTAGTTGATGAGAAAGAGACTAAAGGAGGAGAAATACCCTGGGGTGAAGTACACTGTATCCCTACTTTAGATGGGGAGGTAAGCTACTAGCCCGCCCTACCTAGCCCTACTTAGCCCAGCCCAGCCCAGCCCAGCTAGCCTACCTAACTAATTAGTAAATAGGTTAACCAGTTCACTTGGAAGGACAATGCCCTTGTACTCTTCCTGTCAACTGTCTTCCAGGACGGGCAGGAAGTTATCCGCAGCCGCCGCCGCCCAGCTGGGAATTCTGCTGCCAAGAGGGCTGCCCGACAAGTATTTGGCCCAGATGTCCGCAAGGACTTACCAATCCCTAGGGCAATTGATGAATACAACCACAAGATGAATGGGGTTGATGTGAGTGACCAGATGAGGTCCTATTATCAATATAGCCACCCTGCTCGTCGAGGGGGCTAGCAGTCAATTACCTGGAATTTCCTGCAGGAAGTGGTAGTTGTGAATAGCTTCCTACTGCAGCTCTGGGGCAGTCCTAGGTGGCGGAAGGTGAAAACCTACTACCAATGGCGGCAGCTGCTTGCAGCCTAGCTTTGTGCCAGTGGACTACAGTACAACTTGTGAGGGGTAATGTCCCGTCAGCATACTGATCGGCGCCCCCCTTCGCCAATTAAATCCCAGAAAAATCTGGTACATTCGTTTGCTATATATTCTGGCTGTGATAGATGTACCAGCATTTATTATTGTTACATAGGGCTACTCCACACTGCTAGTAGCCGGGTCGCGACTGTTTACGACGCCTGCCGTTACTACTAACCTCCCTAAGTGCCACTCTCGACTTTGGCCTCGAAAAGTTATAGGCTACGTAAGGAGAGGGGTTTTTGCGTGGCTCCCGCGTATGAAGCTGCTAGGGAACATCTTGCCTCCGCGTATCTGTAGCCCTCTGAGGCCTAGATCTCTTGCGAGCTCCTACTAATGGCCTAAAGTGCTGAATTAGCTGGGTAGAAAGCAGTCTGCGCCATTCGTACTGGCTCTCGAGAGATCTCTAGTTTAGGCGCCCCTATTGCTGTAGAAGATATGTATTCACAAGTATGCTCTCGAGCAGGAAGTTCCAAGCAATTGAATCCCATCCTCCTCTTCTGATTGGCCGCCCATATTGATAATATGACCTCATCTGATCGCTCGTATCGACGCCGTTCATATTATGGTTATAATCGTCGATATAGACGGGCACCGGAAGAAGCTTCCGGACTTCGGAGCCGAACACTTGACGAGCGGCCCGCTTCGCCGAGGAATCGCCGGTAGGCCGGCGGCGGTTCCGGAGGACCTCGGCGGTGTAGTTGTAGATAGTCGTGAGGAAGAGAAGCAAGGCGTTATCCTTCCAAGTTAGCTAGTTAACCTAGAATATGCCAAAAGAGCATATCAGAGTATAAATCAGTATAAAGAGAAGTTCTGTTGATCATACCTGACCATCTGTAGTTGGGATACAGTGGATTCGACCCCATGGTATCCCTCTGCCCTCTGTCTCCTTCTCCTTCGACGAGGATCTCGCTGATGACGGCGTCTTTTCGGCAAGTGCCCGTAGCGCCGATATTCTGCTGCCGGAGGGCCCGGAAGAGCTTCACCGAGGCGAATAGATTATTTAAAAAGACGTGGTAGACCCCCGGAGGCAGTAGGCTGAGTAGGGTAGTAACCACCCGCTGCGTCGGCGTCAGGGCCGCTTTTTTAGCAGCCTCGTCGCCGGGCCGGAGCCGGGCCTGCGGCACAAGTCCGTACGGACCCTTGCCGCAAGAGTGCCATAACCACCGGAGGCAGTAGCCGTTTTGAGCCAGTACCCATACCTTAAACCCGGTAGGAGTCGGCTTTGTTGGTATCGTTGCCGTCTCCGTAGACCGGCCCGTGAACCGAACCATAGCCTCGTCGACGGTGAGGTCGGAGCCGGCGGTGTAGAAGCGGTCCCCGGTCTCTTGGATATGAACGGACCAGCCGTTAACCTGCCGGTAGACCTTCGGCATCTCCTCGTCTCGGGGCCGGCTCGTCGAGTACGGAGGTATCGTAGATCCGGATTCGCCAGCAGAGTAACTGGGAGCGATTCCGGGGCATATATCGGATAAAGAGATAGACAGGGTCCTCCTTCTCTTGCTAAGAGCTCCAGTATCTTATGTATTTAATTTCAAGGTAGATTCCTATATAAATAACAATACCTAAGAAGAGGTAGATCTCTTCTGCCGAAGTGTCACTCTACGCGAACGTTCGAGATTCAGGCTAATGAGGCCCGGCCACCGTCAGCGGCGCGGCGTTCGTCTACTCCGACTATCTGTCGATAAGATCCGTAGGTATCCCATCGAGTGCTGCAAGGCGACAGTACATTGAGATGCGGGGGAGCAGCCAATCGGGCCACTTCGGGCCCCTTTTTCCAACCAACCAACGTAATTGATAATAGATACTTCCAATTACTAGAGATTCTGCGTATGAAATCGGTACCAGCAATCTTCTGAGTTACAGAGAGCTACATCGCACTCGAGGCAGCCCATCCTCGTGTACTTCCGCCGCTGCGGTTGGGTATGGATATTACCACTAATTTCGCCCAGCGCAGTCCTCGCTTTTACTTGCGATATCGTACTACAACCCACGCAAGCAGAATTGGCATTTCTGTGCCCTCGTACGTGTAATTGCCACGGTACTGCCTCGTTCCTTTTGTCTGTTGCCCTCCTTGGACGTCCCCGTCGACGACCTTCTGCCAATGGTCCAAACCTCTGAATTAGGTGGGCAGAAAGCAGTCTACGCCATTCATACTGGTTCTGAACCCGGGGCCACTCAGGATCTCCCCATTGTTGAAGACGAAAGGTATTAATAATAATGACTTCGAGGAGAAAGTTCCAGGCAATTGCCTGCCAACTGCCCCGCCTCACGGGCCGGCTGAAGTCGTAATAGGACCGCATTTGGTCCCCGGTATCTACGCCGTTCATACGGTGATTGTACTCATCGATTGCGAGTGGAATCCGGAGATCCTTCCGCACTTCGGGCCCGAAGACCTCCCGTGCTGCCCTCT